AGCATGCCTCTGGTCTGCAGGCAGCCTTAATCCTGTACAACATAGAAATCATGCACCTCAAAGATAGAATACAGATAGCAAAAGATCTATCAAAACAATAAGTTAGACAGGAACAAGACAACATAGTGGTGAGTTAAGTAGAACTGGCAATCCCTGACCTGACCTAAACCCAACCTGAAGTATTACTCATTTATTACATTTTGTACAAGTAAATTATATGCTAATTTTGATTATTTTAGCAGAACATGAAATTGACTTGAAACCAAACCTGAACGGACGAACCTGGCCCATTGACCCGAATTACCAACTCTAGAACTAATCAATTACAATAAATGTCTGTTAAAATCTCACCTGGTATGCATTATAATTTTAACCTGGCCTCTCCCAAGGCTTTAGCCCTTCAACAAAAATACAAACATAATTTACAGAACAGAGAGTAATGTCCTATAGCAGAATTCAAAGCAGGCTCACTGATAATCACCCAAGCAAAGAAAACAAACCAGGCAGCAACCCTACTGCAAATGCTGCAAGAAATAAATAAATAAAAAGGGGAAAAAAAAAACAAAAAAAAAACAAAAAAAAAACCAAAGCTGGACAGGAGAAGAGAGAAAGTGATACGCTACATGAACAAATGTCTGAGCGCCATTTCAATTACATTAAGATCTTAGAGTACGCACAGTCATTTGACTTGCAACTGTTTGAAGACTCACCTTCACCATGATTGACAGCAGCCCGGAGTAAATTTTCCTTTTCTTGAATTTTAGCAGAAAAGGCCTTGTCCAAAGTTGGGACAGTGCTCATCCTCTGACGGGTATCCAAACCATAGGCTTTGCGGGTATCAGCTATAACTTTTTCAGCACTTTCACAAGCGGAAGCAATCATGTCAATTCTAGCCTGCCACAGTGGCCAGTCTATTTTAAAAAAACAATCTGATACTACGTAGAAGTTACTGGTTGAAATGCTAAATTAGCAAAATCAAGTTACCTTAAGCTTATCAATTTGTGTGGGTATAGGCAGATTTTGCATGCCAAGAAGCAACTGCTCCCTCTTAGAATTGTCATCCACTTCCATCTCGGGCAAGAGCTTGGACGACAACATAACAGGGAGTACTGCATGGAAAGTGATTTGTAATTACAAAGGGTTAATATAATGTACACCACAGTGCCAAATTATTCAGTCTTCATATATCAATGGGCTCATCTGTTATCTTCACACAAAATAAGATGTTCTTATCCGATTTAAATCTTTGTACAATAATTATCTAACTTGGCTAAACTTTCATTGCATTTTGAACGAATACTGTTCGATTTGTTCCAATGTGTATTTTCCAAATATTTAATTTTCTAATTTTTATTAATTCCCATTTCCCAATCAAATATTTTTAGTAATACATAAATAGAACTAAAAAAAACAGATTTATAGATCTGATGAATATCACTAGTTTGATTCTGAAAAGATTGAGTGACAAGTTTCTAATATAAGGTGAAGAGAACAGGTTCTCAATCTGCTCTTCAATCTCTCTCCTCAGTCCTCACTGCTTTACATCTTTTTCTACTTTCCCTCCACTTTTATAGCACATTATCCTTAAAATTGGAGGAGTAGGCAAACTTATTCAAGACTGGGCCACTAACCTATCAATGGCTTTCTTATTTTATAGAAAGAGTACATTACTCTCTTTCTTTTTTTCTTTCTTTTTTTTTTAAGCTCACTAGAAGGAAAAATAAAGAAAAAAGAGAGAAAGAAAGTCAATAGATTCTAAGATTTCAACTTTTCAAGTCATCAAATTTTAAGATATCTTATGTCAAATAAAAAATGTAAAATTGAAATCTAGACATTGGTTGCTGGCTTGCTGCTTAGTAAAAAAGACTTACATATTCACTTTCTAGATTTCCTTATAGCATATATCAACCCCTAATTATGAAAAGATGGTAAGCATTGAAAAGGAATGATTTATGCAAAACCATAACCTCAAATGACAGAAAGTCATGTACCTGTGGCATTCTCGGCATTAACATTCCTGGGATGGACCACAAAAGCTTTCGATACCTTCTTGATGTCTTCCACAATATTGAACAACTCCAGATTCACCATTGAAAATTGACCAACAACATCTTGCCTGGTGTGAGATATGACAGTTAGTGGTTAAAAGACATTACATAAATTTACTTAGACAAGAAAAAAGCATTAACTCTAATTCTCATCAAATAGCAATATCCTCTAACGCTTATCAAATCATTGCATTACAATCTTACAGATTCAAAAAAACAGAAGATAATCATCGCATTGCAATCAGTAATGCACAGTGAAACCCTCCACGCGTAAAAGGAAGCTTCTTTAAAGGCATTGGGGCAATTTTCACTCTATTGTTAATTGTTAACATACAATCAACAAAAAAGAATACAGTATAGCATGAAATCAAATACTCTTCTTTCTTCATATCAAATTTACTAGGAAATTTATTCAATAACATTACTCTCACAAATTTACAGATTTCGAAACATACTTATAGTTTGGAAACTTGGATCGCCAATGCCATCATTCCACACCAATCAGACTAGTTCATTTATATCAAGTGAAAAAGACAGTCCATTGCTCTTACCTCCATTGGAAAACAAAGCTTACAAAAACCCCTTTTCAAAAAAAAAACTTAATTCTTAATCACACAGTAGTCTTCCCGAACTTCATAGCTTAAAATCAATTTCCTCAATACAAACACACCTACTCCGAAAAATCAGAAATTCAGCATTACGCAGCAGATAAAGTATATAACTAGAAAACCCTAAAACAATCAAGATTCCCAATCCACGCAGTAATAACCATGCTTTACAAAAATTAGGGTTTTTTTAAATTTTTTTTCCGAATTATGCAAAAATTAACATCAATTTAAGGGGAATCTGAACAACAATAACAACAAAAGTGAGACAAACAAGAGAGATAGAAAATTGGACCATTTGGGGAGGGCATTGGAGCGAGATAAGACGTCGAAATCTTCGAGAATGCGAGAGATAGCTTTGAAGAGACTAATGGCGCGAGTTTTGACAGATTCTAAGTTGAGCTGTTGTTGAACTGCTGAATTTAGCTTCTCCACTACCTTCGCCGGTTGCGGTGGTTGTTGCGGTTGCTGTTGTTGTTGCTGCTGTTGTTGCGAAGTTGTTTGGTTTTGATCTTGCAGTGTGCCCATCATTGCTTCCATGATCGCCACCAGAGAGGGAGAGAAGAGGGAATGAGACTCAGGAGGAAGTAAAACAAAGTTTTAATACAGTCCTTCCTCCTATCCCTAATGTTTTTTACATTTGAAATTATGCAATATTAAGAAATTGTGTAAAGTAGAATATTTCAATGATTGAAAGTACAATTTTATTGAAAAATTGAGCATGTGGGGTGAAGAAATTAGAGGAGAGAGGAAAGACAAAGTAATAAGAAGTGTTGAAAAACTATTAAATTGTAATAAGTGTTGAAAAGTAAGGATTAATTTATGACCAAAATAGGAAATATACTAAGGGTTTGTTTTTATTGACTGAACTCAGCTGAACTGAATTGAACCGAACTGAGCTGAAGTGAAATGAATATTTTGTAAGAGAAGAAAATTAGGAGCTGGGCTGAATTGAACTGAACTGAGCTGAGCTGAACTGAGCTGAATTGAACTGAACTGAGTTGAGCTGAACTGAACTGAGCTCAACTGAACTGAAATGAGCTGAACTGAATTTCAACGTATGAGAACAGGCCCTAAATGTAAAGAATAAAAAGAACACCCTAAATGGAAACGTAAAAAAATTTAGGAACGGAGGGAGTATTGATTTATGCGGAATGCAAACGGCTGGTGTGCCAAGTGTGGTTTGTTGTGACCACCTGGGAAAACAACTAGCTAGTCGCACTTATAAGTTGGGCTCTTATAAGTTTAATTTGCCTATGAAAGTTGCAACTGCTCGTGGATGATAAATATTCCCTCCGTTCCTAGATGATAGTCCCTTATGACATATTTTCAGTCCGAAATTGATAGTCTCCTTTGCTTTTTCAAGTAGCAATAATTTTACATTTTGACCAAAATACCCTCATTTTTTGTCGTTTTTCTCTGTCCTTTTCATATTATCCCCGTAATTTTATCAGATTCTTGTGTCATCCATTCTATTCTATTAACTATTACTAAAACAGAAGTTGTTGACATCATCATTTCCCACATGTCGCTTTCTCAATAAAAAAATTTCCCGCCTAAATGCAATGATGATGTCATTTTTTTTTGAACTATCATATTTAACATTTTTGAAATTTAAATATTGGAAACTTCTACTTTACAACTTAAACCTATCAATTTATCATAAGAAATTGAAATAATTTTAAATAGCTTAATAATAAATGACCTCCTACATAGAATGATACATAATTCTTTTTTATATTCATGTAAAATGGCGATTATTTTTAAAATGTACCCTCAAGGATATATAAGCTTTTTTTGTCCATTGATTTTGACTTGTTCGACGTCATATAATGAAAAGATGTATTTTCCACCATTGAAATTGAAGGTTGAAGGAGGAGAGAGAAAACAATAAAAGGTTAAGGGAGGAGAGAGAAAACAATTAAAGGTTGAAGGAGGAGAGAGAAAAAAACAGTTAACCAAAGTTAGATATAATTTACATATACACCCCTTGATAAACACAATTAAACATGTATTTTCTCGTTTATTAAACCTTGTGATGTAATATGTATTTAATATTTTTGGTATTTAACATGTATTTTTAGATATAATATTTGTGATTATATTTGTGATCATATTTGTGATTATATGTATACACAAACAAAATCCACTCTTGCAACTAATAATAGAAAGATTTAGTTTTAAAAAGCTTCAAAAAAAAAAAATGACTTCATCATTTCATTCTTTAACAAAAAATTGTTTAACAAAAATGGAAATTTAACCCAAATTAAGCAAAAGTTGATATCTTTGTTTATACCAAAAAAAAGTAAAAAAAAAATAAAAAATCGTGGCATCCAATATTCCCTCACTTGACTTTGACCTCATCCCAACTTGAACTACCACAAGTTGAACTTCCCCTTTCTTCTTTTTCCTCTAACTTTTGCGCTCCAACTAAAAATAAAAACACAGTAAATCAACAAAATCTCGCAACTTTCTCTCTCATCCAATTTCTGTCAATTTTCCTCTGCTCAATTTTTCTTAACCGCCATTTTTGTCAAACTTTCTCTTCCACGAAACCCTAAATTCTGCTGTTTATTTTGGATTGTCGGTGATCTCCGAGGTTGCAACAATGGCGGATTCAATCAGGTTATTTTTTTAATTTTCTCTTAATTTTAGCTTTAGCTCTTAAGATTTTCGATTATTGGCGAATTTGATCGATTTGTTTAGCTAATTTTAAATTACTAAGGTATTGAATTGATTGCAAGTTTTTTGATGTTTAATTTTTCTGCATTGATTAGCTGATTTATGATCCGCATTATACGAGTGTTCAAATTTGAAGTGATTAGTGAATTTCCTTTAGGCTATGTTTGGATAACAAAAAATGGAAGGAAAGGAAGGGAAGGGAAAGGGAGGGATACAAAGTTCCTTGTTTGGATAATATGTTGGGGGAAGGAAGGGAAGGGGGAGGGAGAGATCCATTTTCCCTCCTCCTTTAATAAAGACCATCCCTTCAAAATTGGAGATTTGGAGGGAAAATGAAGCTCATCATTTCCTCCACTTTCCCTTCCTTCCCCTTCCTCCTATTTCCCTCCCTTCCATTTCCCTTCTAATTTCTTATCCAAACATAGCATTTGGCAATTATAGATTTAAGGTTGTGGAAGTTTGCTCTTTATTTATTTTGGCTCGAAATTTTGTGTTTTGATCATGTACACACAAAAGTTGTTTTTTTTTTTTTTTTTTTTTTGGACAAAAGTTATATAGTCTATTTAGGCATGAAATGCTGAGATTAGTGAGGTAAGTTAAGTTGGAAATTGAATCTAAACAAGCAAATTTTGTTTTGTTTTTATTTTTAATTTTAATTTTTTAAATAAGGAAGGCAATGTTGGAGTCTAATTTAGCACTTAGGAATTTATAGCAGTTGCTTTATTTGCTTAATACCTGCATTTCCAATTATAATAATAGCTTGGGCGATGTCCCGGGATTTTATGTGTTATTCTATTATCTAGTGAGGAGACTACTGCTACAAACAATTATATGAAGTTTGAAAAAGTAATGTAACTAAGAAGGTTGGAAATGAAAAAAAAAAAGAGCTAAGATTAATACTAGTATATTGGTAACAGAATACACTTATAATATACTCTTGTTAATAACATAGTTCTATTCACCTAATATCTATTTATATGGAGTATGTACTTATTAGACTCTATTAAAAATTATTTTAGATGTAGGTTGAACCTGTGTCACCCTTATTACCCCTTATATGAACTATTAATCCTGAAATTTAATCTCCCTATTTGAAATCATTTTTCCGAAAATAAGTTAAAAATTGGAAATAAGGTGAACTGAACAAGACTTAAGTAGTCAAGGTGTAACTACTTTTGAAAAGCTATAAAAGAGATGTTAAGTACTTCGTATAAGACATCATTTTTCTTTGAAAGATGAAATAATGAGATTGTAGTAGATTTATGGATAAGTTCTTGCTTTTCCAAATTAGAGGTCATGCGTTACCATGTATAGACAAAATCCTTTTTTTTTCCCCAGCATTTGTATAAGAAGTGGGTGCATAAATTGGCTCCAAAATGTTTATGAATACATCTTGATTTCATGTTGGGTATTTCAAACTTTCTTAGTATCATTTGTAGATAATTTTAGAATAGGAGTTATGTATATGTGGACCTCCATAACCTTGTCTCGTTGGGAATCATACTAAATTATTGTTACTGTAATGTATACATTGAGCTGACAAACACTAGCATGACAATAGAACTTGAGTATCATACCAAGAAGTCAATAATTGACTTTGTGGGGGATTACTTTGGACTTTGGCTTTTACATCTTTGTTTTCTCTTGTTGCAGGTATCTCCTTCATTGACAGGTGAAATGGTTTGCAAGTTTTACAAATCAAGGGATGATTTGGACTATTTGAATTTTAATATTCTCTGCAATGCAATTAGCTTCGAATGGCAGTCGTGGAGAAGATGATTCGGAAACAGAGCCTATCCTGTCGGATTCCCATATAATTGAAGAATCTCAGGAAACAACCCTTTATGAAATTAGAACTGTTGATTGTGATACTTCCGCTGTGACAGATATTGAAGCTGATGAGAACTGCAGTCTAGTGAATCCAGAGCAACCACAATGCCGGATATGCCTAGAAATTGAAGGTATTTTACCACTTGTGGAACTATATAGTTTATACCAGCAATACTGCTTTTTTCCTTTTCCCTGCCTCTAATCATGATGCAGGCCTGTAGCCTGTATTAATTATACCTTGCTCAATATTTATTTCTCATATGAGGATCTTGTACCCATGGTCGCTTCTTGTTTACAGATGATATGTCTTTGTTCTTATACAAGAATTTGATTTATAAGAGATTAATAAGTTGATGTATGGTGTCAGGAGAGGATTTAATTGCTCCATGCCATTGCAAAGGCACTCAGAAGTATGTCCACAGATCATGTCTTGATAATTGGAGGTCCACAAAGGTAAATGATTTAAATTCATTCCTTAAAGGTCTTACTCAGGGACAACAGTATCATTATGCATGCAGCCAGATTTATTGTTTTATCTGATCGTCTATAGCCAAAAGTGTACTAGACCAAGTAGAGCCCCTATATTAAATATTTATACTCACTTTCATTTGAAAAATCGTTAGTGATTGTTCATTGCATTGGTATCCAAAACTGAGAACTAATATTGCTTTTATTTTTCTTAGACCGACTAGTACTAATGCATTGATATTTTAATTTTTAAGTGACAAGTAAAGCTGATGGAAAAATAGCTGTCTCAGTTGTCAGATTATATACAATATTGCAACAGAGGTATTATTAATTACAGGAACAATTTAAAGTTAATTTATTTTCACAGTGATTTATAACTGTATCGTCTATATGTTTAGAAGATCTACATGATCATTGAAGTTGTCTTCCGTGATGGTTTAGAAGTCGACCAAGTTGTTTGATTTCCATATTTTTGAGTTTGATAAAATAGGTATTTGCACCCACAAACTGCAGCAATTAGCGACGATTGCTCTCCAAAAACAAATATCACTCTCATTTTACTTTCAGTGACCACTTGTGGAAGAACATTTCGTAAATGATTTTTATCTTTGGTTAATTTCAAGAGACATGTATCATTGGTTGCGTTTTTAAAATCTATGCACTGTGCTCTTAATTGCAGTTAGTCATGATAGAAAGGATTGCTACATAATGTTCTACTAATTATAAAATATAATTTCCTAGCTGTGTAATGGGATGATAACCTGAAGAAATTCAAAACAAGTGAGGCAACATTTTCCATACTGAACAGTGATTGATTTAGAGGATACTGAATAGCAAGTTCTTATTTTCCCTTCCTGTCCCTATCTCAATTTTATGTACTTCTTGGATATACAGCTTCTTTCTTGTCTTCTAAAGTTCAGCTAAAGTGATATATTTCCTTTAAGGGTTAGGATACATCTTTATATTATTAAAGTTTCTTGAGGTTTTTACTTTCCTTTGTTCTTTTAGATATTTGGTCTTTTTCTTTTTCAACTCATGCTAATTGTGCTCTAGAAACATTTGTTGCTTAAAATTTAAATGCTTATCAAGAGAAGTTGGAAACCAGCATTAAAAAAAATCTCCGCGTACCTACCCTGATGTGTAATCATTTTTCTGATTTTAATTTTGTAGATTTTTCTCTCTGGAGGACTAACTTAGTGTTATTATCGCATTTATGTCATTTTCTCAGGAGGGCTTTGCTTTTGCTCATTGTACAGAATGCCGGGCAAATTTCTTATTGCGAGCAAATGTTCCATCGGATCGCTGGTGGTTGAGATTAAAGTTTCAGTTCCTTGTTGCAAGAGATCATGCATTCATTTTTATAGTTGTTCAGATGGTATAATGACATAACATGATGCTCTGTAAAGTATTTAAATATTGTTAACAGTAAACATACATTAAAAAAAAAAAACAGTATGAATATTTTGTTTCCTAATAAACATCACTGATTAATTGGCTGCAAATAACTTTCCATTTTTGGACTATGCATCTAGAATTGTTGCTGGAGTGATTTTAAGCTGTGACACTTATAGAGTTCTTTTAGTATCAGCTTCTAAGTGAAGGGCGTGCACTAGATTCCTTAAACAAAAGCCATGGTGTTTTAGATCGAGGATAAAGTGACAACTTTCCTATTCCATTACATCTTTAAGTTTAAGATTTTTAGAGTCTTTTACCAATTCTCTACTATATTTTTCTAAAGGATGTGGTTAGGCATATCTCGTCCTCTAAAGTTGGTACTGAAAAAATTTGGCAATCTCATTTTTAGAACCATGTATAGCTAAGCCTTTTTTTCCTCAAAAGATGATTGACCTATACAAAATGCTATCTTTTGTTAATAGAATGATTACAGTAGGTAAAACTTGTGATTCTTTTTTTAAAGCTACAAATTGCTTCCTCTTCTTTTCTAAAGAGGATTGTCTCTTTCGCTGAGACCCCCATTTGCAGATGCCCAAAAGCTTGGAATGCCCACTCTAAGGATTTTTGGTTCAATGGTATTCTTACTTAGTTCCAAATTAGTTGACACGTTTTGACTTTTGATAGTATTCGTAAACTTTAATTTGACTGACATTTATGAATTATAGATATGGAAAAATACAATCATGTGGATCTTGTTAGATCCATTTAGTGTGTACTTAACTAAACTTTAATTTGGAACATAGGAAGTATATACAATTTACTCTTTTTTTCTTTTTTTTTTTTTTTTTTTTTTTTTGGGGTGGTGGAAGTAGGAGGGTTCTCAGATGTGTTGTTTTGAAGAGAAATGTTGAGTAAACCTATGTTCTTCTTGGCTTCGACCTTATCCCTATTATGTTCCAATGATGCATATGAAAGATATAATCATATTATTGATTTTCCATAATCTATTCTCATGGAATTTTTAAAAGTCATGTGTGGGCTATTTATTAGCTTTTTAGTTCTACCCATGCACTTTACCTGCCGTGACAGTATTTATGGGATGCCATATTAAGCACATGTGTTATAAGTTGCTACGTTAAAGTTACTACACTAGACAATAATCAACATAACATATACGTATGTCCATGTGTGCTCATATTACATACTAAGCACATATTTAGTACTACTTATTTGTTTGGCATGCTTTAAAATTCTAATTAAGCTGTTTTAATAGATTGTGGCAGTGTTAGGCATTCTGGTTTACAAATTCTATGGTGAAGAATTGCGTGAAATGTTTGGCTATCAAGAACACCCATATGCATTTTATATCATGGCTGGTATGTGATTCTTTTCTGTCAAGCAGCATAATAATTTATATGTACTTTTCTATTTTTCATTTCATGGACAAGTCTAGGTGTTATAAGCCAGTTAGCTATTCTTTGTTGTTGCTAAGGAAGAATAAATTTTTCGTGGTCTGAGTTGATTCTCCTGCATATGACATATTGAACTAAGCTATATTACTCCACCAGAATTCTTTGCTCCTTTTTGTAATTGTGTTGCTAATGTTATCTAACTTTGTGACTGAGATGCTATTTTCGAGAAGTGTGATGTTGAATCTTATTTGGTTTATGGATCTGAATTAATGTGGACATGTGTGGCTTGAGTTCATTTATACCCCATAATATTATGCTTTCACAAATTTGTTACAAAACCTTTAATGTGTAGAACATGATAGAGTTTCAGAGGGAATTGCTGGTTTGTGCTCTTGTCTTGCAAGATTTACTCAAATATTTCTGTGTAGTAGGAAAATTTGTTAACGACTACTATTACTCTGTATTAAACTACCAAAGTTCCAAGCATTTACAGATCGTTAGACAGTTTTTGTCACATGGCCCACTTTTGCTCCACTTTTTTCTCCCTAAAACTTCTGTTTCCCTTTTGGGCTTGTAAAACTTTGGGTTATAGCTCTCCTATTTCATTCACTCTTCAACATCTGCTCAACATATCACTAATTAGGTGTGAAGAGTTGTTGGGGTTTCAAGAAAGAATCTTTTAGAGCTTCAATTTGGTTAGTCTTTTGCATTGAAAATTAGGATTTGTGGAATTGCAATTCAATTAAATGAGTCTCCTTGCAAATTTGAACAACTACTCTTGCTTAATGCATAATCGAATTCCTTTGGTACCCTTTCAATTCAAACAAAGTCAACATTAGATTCTATGTATATTGGACTAACGAAAAGAAAGGGAGGGAATAATCTTTTCATAGAATATATACACTCTTATTAATGTTATAGTATTATATGGACTAAGCACTTATGTATGGATTATTTATTTTTATTTTTTTTAATTTTTAATTTTTAAATTCTTTTTTTTTTTTTTGAATAAAAATTCATGGTAGAGTGGTTTGAATTTTTGTGGACACTTGTAGCTGCAATCTTATTTGTTTCTCTGTTACTACATAATTTTTTTTCCCTTTGTATCACAAGACTGACAACTAATGTCTTAATCTAACTTGTAATTTTTGTGGGTTCATTTGTGGAATTTTTTTTAATGATGTCCTACATACTTGGTCCAATATTTGCAGTTTTGGCTATTATACTTGTTGGCTTGCTTTATGGTTTCTTCATAGCGATAATATGTGGACAGAGGATCAATGAGCGCCACCATCATGTTCTTGCAAAACAAGAGTTGACAAAGGTATTGATTATTCCTTAATGTTGATTGCTTAAAATTGGGAAGCCTTGAGCAATGCAATTATGTCTTATAGTGGATGTCAATATTAGACATGCATCACATGCTCCTAAATAATGCATCTGAACTGAAATTTTAATGCTTTCACTTACTCTAGCCTCTTGATGACCTACTTATTAAAGAGATGTCTACCATTTCGTATCATGTGACAAGAGGCTTCTATTGTACTGTTTTGTTACTTGCATTGTCTTTCTGTGTGAGTGATGGCTGTAATTCATTGATCTTACTAAGTTCTCTGTTGCATGCATTTGGATTGAAGATTTTAAATTCTGTGCAGGAGTACATAGTGGAAGACCGTGAGAGTAAAGATGTTCCTGAACTTGACCCTAGCCACATATCAGAGCTGAGAATGTTGGGCCTCTACTGAAACAATCAAATAGCATTTCCTTGGCATTCTTTTAGGTGTGTGTTCTAATTTTCTCAAAAAAAAATTCCCTTCTCTGATTAAGTACGACATTCAGGCGAAATTTAGTTCATTATTAGTTGATGATTTTGATCACTTGTGGCAGCATAACTAGATGAAAACTTCAAAGTATAAAGTTTTCTGTTAGTGCGTTGCTGCTCAGATTCGTATCTCATTAGCATTTATTGTTTAGGATATTAGATGTTTGTGGATTGAAAGAGACAATAATTGAGTCTTGAATGCTGGGTTTTGAATGTGAGTACTGAGAGGATCAATGACTCTGACAATGCAAGCCGTGAATCTAGTGATGCTGGTTTGTTTTTAGAAGAATACTGTTAAAGTTCAGAGGCTTGGTGCCAGGGGGTTAATCTTGGTTTCTGTAGGTGGAGAGGTTTCCTATTGGCAACTTACTAAATTTCGTTACCCTGGTAAAGTTTTTTAATTTGGGAATTGGAGTTGGATTGCTTGCATGTGGCAGATGTGTTTCATATTATCATCATTGGTACAAGTCATAATTAAGGTGTTCCCCCTCTAGTGTATACCTTATATAATATACTACTAACATGGGCAAACATTCCTTTTTAAAAACATGGACAAAAATGCTGAAATGATTACATTTATATTATACTTCCAAATTTGGCAAATGTTCTATCTTTCATACATTATTGTACAAACTACTTAAGATGAACAACATCGTTGTAATCTCATTATTATGGGAAAAAATTACAGTCTTATGATGTCAATTTTTTGTTGATTTTGAGGACAGGTTCTTGGTGGCTTATTTCAATGGGAAATTTGTTGGAGTTAGTGCTATTTGAGTATGAGTTGAGAGAATAAGAGAATTGTGAGTAATATATGCTTTAGTGTTCGGAATTACTTCGAGGGAATTGAAGGAAGCTTTTATAATGTTATAATGATGAATAAGACATAAGATTTTCTGTTTTTTCATTCCTATTTCATGTCTTAATTTTTTAACATGTTCTATATCATGGAATATGCTTCTTTTGAATGGAAATTGCTTAACTATGCAAGTTGGCGTGCACAAGTCATCTAAAGTACGAGAGATTTCAATTCGCCTTTTTGGGCTAGGCAAATGATATTAGTGTTAAAATCAGCTCAATACAACACATTACTTTGGTTGGAAGTTGGAATCTTCTGTCCCTCGAAGTAGCGTGTTTTTATTATGATATAAGTCCCTCGAAGTAGGGTTTCACGAGTCCCGAAGATATAAATTGGGACTTATATCATATTATAAAGTTCTTTTCACGAATCCCAATTTTAACCAAAATATCATATTAAGTGTTAAAAATTATCAGATCATTTGGTCAATAGATATAAATTGCTTCAATCTGCCCTGTCTCTGACTTTAAATCTGTTTCAGGTCCCAACCTTGGTTCTGTTACTAGATTCCGAGATATGCATATATACTCGCATACATACCTTTTCTTATACTCTGTGTGTCATAGAGAAACAATTTACAAAATTCTAATATGCTGTAAAGCTTATAGGCATTTGATTTCTCTTGGGTTTTGACCTTTGCCTACCATTTTTACAAACCCTTGTGGTTAAATAACTGGACCTTGTTAAGGTCGAGGTTACCTTGAAAACCAATCTTTGTTGATTTCTCGTGTGAATTTGTATAGGAGCTGTATATAATTTCTCTATCAGGCTTAGCTTTCTAGCAGGAACCGTACGTGTCTGGAATATAACAGGACAGATCTAGGAGACTAGATGGGTACAGGATTGATTCTGCAAGACTAGGTGCCCCTTGCATTACTTATGTAAAGATTGCATGCTGCCACAATGTCATTTTTCAGATATTTGATGGAAGTGCATTGGCTCGATCGTATAGTCTTTTTACTCCTTGCTAGTGAAGTCATACTGCAAGCATATTTGATCTCGTCCTTGTGACATGTAAACTTTTGTTAGTTGATTACTGATGTAATAATTTGTCTTTAACTTCTTGCAAGGTTTCTGAATCATTGTGTAGTTGAGAACTGATGTAATAATCTGTAAGCTAGATGTTCACCATTTCCCATTGATAGGGGGGAAAATGCTGAATCATTGTGTAGTTTTCTAAACCTGCTAAGGTCCAAAAGGGCATAATTCATTCAGGTGTTTTTGTTCAATGCAGGGGAAGTGTGTATTATCATCGAAACCTGAAGTACATAGATGCTCCTTGTCACTGGTTGCACGCGAGCAACACACGCATTTTTTCATTTGAATACAATTTTATTAATTGAGAAGGCCTCATTTCAGACAATTACATGAATACTACGGAGTAGAATACAGATTTGAATATAGAATCTTAATTTTCTAAAAGTAGAAACCGGCACCTCTTATTCATACATAATAATAACAGATCAAGATTTTGAATATTCACAAAGTTGAATCTTTTTTTTTTTTTTTTTTTTACACTAAAGTTACATTCAACAGCTCTAAACCACATTACAAAGAACATACAGCCGATACAGGACTCTTTCTGTCTGCGTAACTGGTTGTTGATTTTCACCATGATAAAATCCGGTCTCTGCAGCTGTTGTCTAAGAGCAATCAGACTGCTTCCTTGTCGCCTTCTTTCAGCTGTGCAACCATGTATCAAAACTGTCAATCCCCGATAGATCAGTCAAGTACTCAAGTTCCCACCTTTCCCACGAATAATATACAGTAGGTGGAAGCCTGCAATCACTATAAAAGTTCAAAATTCTGGGTTCCTTCACATTTATACTAACAAATATGAATAATTAAATTATTGACATCTAATATGAATAATTAAATTCTTGATATCTGAAAAGGTAAGGTAGTAAACAAGGGTCGAATTTCCAGCTAAACAATTGAGTATATGACTGACAAGAGATACCATCTATCAGGGTTATCACTAACAATTTTTAAGAGTTTCACATTAACAACCACATCCAAACATCTATAGCATCTATTTCATCAAAAGTCTGGGAGAGCTGAAGATTTAGATATGATGCGGTGACCAGAAACAAAAGGATAAATGATCTCTATTACTATTTAAAAAGGCACAAAATGTCCAAGTTATTTGTGCGATGTAAAGTAATGCCCAAGTAATGATCATGGAATTTATTGACACTCAAACAGTGCTCTTAAGTTATCTTCTTTTTGCTCCACCAATTTGCACAACAATCCACAGAGAGAATAACATGTACTAAGATCATTACTTTAAGGTGATAGCACAAAACTAACCTTGGATACAGTTTTCTGCTAAAGAGCAGATTCACCCTTCCTCGTCCTCAAATCGTGATGCATGCTTAGATGCCGTCTTGCAGCTCTTGCCCGTCTCTCCCTCTAATGAAGAATGGGATGCCCCTGCAATTAAGTTTTCTCATAAGTCTTTCATGTGCCAGAAAGCCCAAAATACATAAAGCTCGCAACCACGAAATCTACTATGAATATGCAATACACTACACAATCATAAGGTGAGGGTACACGGGGTTAGAGATTACCCATTCGCACATTCCTTATCAATAGTAGCAAATACAACTCCTATCCCCAACAACTCCCAAATCCCCGATTTTCAAAAGGGTTCTTTTCTCCAATTACCACAATAATTGCGACAATGGCATTGTCCAAACCCCTCGAAATCAAGGATTATAATCATATCCTTCCTATTCTCCTCACCATTCAAGCATAATTATGACTTCTATCTTCAGAATAGTTATACAAGCAGCTATCCTTTCTCAATCACACAACAAGCAAATACCCTCCTACCAATCCTAGAGGTATTATACATACATCGGTCCACTTTCGTCTTGAAAAGCAATCATCTTTGTCATTCCTCAAATGAACCAAATGACATAAAGTATGATTATCATTGTCAATCCATCATTTTAATTTCATATTTCAAACTCCATGTTATATCATCAATAATAATTCAATAAACATATAAGAACAAATACCATCAATCAACACATAAACATATAATTAAATCATCATGAATGTAAAATTAGCAGATAAGATGAATCACCTTCAAAGAAATGAGCAGAAGAAGGCCACCCACGATTCGAAGAGAGAGAAAAACCCTTATTACCACCCTTAATCACAGCAGTAGCAGCAGCAGAATTATGCACCAATTTCCCAATAACATTCGCAAGACCTTGAGCTTTACTCTTAGGTGGGACCCAATAAGAAGCCCCAGGAACAAGAGAAATCCAATCAGGTTGAGATTTCTTCACAATAATCTTATGAATTGCATCTTCTAGATTCTTCATCGCAACCTTCTCCACCTCCTCCGCCGCCATATTCTCGCCGGAAAACACCTCCGCCGAGTTAGACCGGTGCCGGAAATTGACGAAACGGGTGGATGTTGCGGAGGAGAGGGAATTGGGGAATCGAGTTAGGGTTTGAGAAAGAGATCGAGCCATTTTTGATTGGAAATTGAATTGATTTGATTGATTGTAAGTGGGTTGGGAATTGAATCTTGAAGATGAACAAGAAGCTAAACCCAGCCACCTACAAAAGGAAAGAAGGAAGACGAAGGAAGAAGAAACCAGAAAAATTGAAGAGAGGATAAATTATAAAAATGGAAATTGGAAAAAATTGGGGTATTTTGTATTTATAGAAAGTGGATAGAGAACGTGGATTAGCTGGTAACCCAGATTTGTGAGGGAGATAATTTATTTAAATAAAATAATAATTAATATTTTTAAAAATAATTTTTCAATCTTAAATTAGTAGTTCGATTTGACTTATCGTCGGTATCAACATCAAAGTTTATTAATTTTGGCAGTGTTTTTTTTCAATTATACTGTGGATAAGTTGTCTACTTCTTTGAATGGGGAAGAAATGTTAATTTTTTGAATAAATACATAGTACATGTATGTTGGAATAATTGTAAAATTATTTTAAGAAACGAATGTTATAAAATGTCAAGATAAAGATTGATTACAAAGTCGACTACCCATTCATAAAACTATGGCCACACTTTAGTACGAGTAATATGTTGTTTAAATGAGGATTTTAAATTTTAATTCTATATACTACGCACTTTAATCATTTTATAATAAGGTTTCATGTTGTTAAAGTGTATTCTTGAACAATGGAAACTATCAATGACAGACAATAAGCAAATGAAACAAGGAATTTGAGACAAATGAAGTACTTTTACAATTTGTTTCAAAAAAAAAAAAAATTATAACCAAACAAACTTTTAAAAGTTTTAGATTGGTATAAATGAAATTGTCCAAATTTAGAGGTAGCATCTCACACAGTGTAAAAAGGTGCATGGTCTATGGTTGTGAAATTATGTTATTATTTAATGTTAATGATAGAATAAGTATGGATTTGATAATGACTAGATTTGATTCTTATATTTGAGGATAGATTGGTTTTATTATCTGTTAAAAAGACCATTGGCATTGCAACTTGCAATTTGCAATAAAGATAGACAATGATAGCATGTTGTGACTGTAACTTGGCAAATGGCAACAAATTTAATGCAGGCAGTAACTCAGCATATGGAGGAAAATTCACCACTTCAATGTGGCATGGGTCTAAAGAACCAGTACATACAGTTTCAGTTGATGCAGACCTTCCCATTAGATCCCTCGACCACTGCACTAAGATTGAAGATGTGGATTCTGTCCCGATAGAGCTTGCCAATTCTGATGCGGATGAGCTTCTGAATAGAATTTGCTGCAGAGAAGAGACATTGGTCCAAAGAGCGAATTTAGGGAGAGAAGGAGAATAGGGAATAGAGCAAGAAAGGAAAGAGTATACAGGAGCCAAAGCAATTGACAGTAGAAGGGTGCAATAGTAGGCTTAATGTGAAAGATCAATGCAATCGAGCAATTCTGAGTCAACAAGTCTGAATCTTACTGATTCAAATCATCAAAGCAACAGGCTTTGCGAATTATTGTCATTTTACGACAATGAAGCATTTATTCATCTAAGATGGAACAAAAATATGAGATACAAAATCATTTTTTTCCACTGAAGTAGCAACTGGGAATCATCTGTTATAATAATAGTGGCACGTAAAAAGAAAAAAATAATCAGGAAAATGAACAGAGTATAATGCATACACTGAAAAAGAAGCATCATCAGGGAATCAGATCTTCCTTTTATGATTATACAAAAATTCCTCAGTTTTCAGCCTCATCTACAGCGAGAAAATTCTAAGATGGAGCTGCTACCTACTATTATTTCAAAACTTGCGCAGATATATAAACATCTCAAATACCAATCAAAATGTTCCCGAGTAAGATCCTTACAAAACCAAACAATCATCGTGCAACAGGTGAGGAGCATTTTAGATAAATGCATTATAAATGCAGTAACTCCCAGATAATCTGGGTCAGGATGTTGGCCAACTAACATAATAACAACTTTGGCCCCAGATCCAGCCTTGTTACTGCCACACAGTCTAGAACTCATCAATATAATCAGTAATCCACTGATACGGGATAATTAGTTGGGAACATAAGAAACTTGGACAAATACTAAGATAATTAGACCCTTAAAAGCCACTGTCGGAAGAAGAATCTTCATTGGGTTTTGTCTTGCTGATTATTCCTTTTCCAAAATAATCAGCAATAACAGAGAATCCATCTTTGGAGTTCTTAACTTTCTGAAAGAATTGATCTTGGTCTTTTGAGTTTTGTTCCAAGCTTCTCTTCATTTCCAGCACAGACATGTACTCGGGAGCACACTCGGGACACTCCTTTTCATTGTCACCAAGGCAACGTAGATGATAAGAGTGCATACACATAAAATGGACTGCTGGAAGATCAAGAGTGAAATTGCATGTAGAACACTTGCTGAGCTGAAAGATTCTTGCATTTGTCCTCAGATCCTCAATTTCTTTCCTCATTGCTGATGTGTCCTCCTGTAAAATCATAAATCCCACATTGTTCAAATTCTTCTTTCGTGGAACATCAATTACACAATATACTTCGTATAACACAGCTGACTCAAAAAAATAAAAATAAAAATTGCTTCAACAATAGGGAGGAAAAACTATTATGAGCATTTTCTACCCTGGAGCAACCATGAACCAAGACCATCAGTGAGTTTTTACCTAAAGAGATACAATTTTGCAATGTAACAAAATATGTCATAGTCTATTGAACAGGAGAGATTCCATACATATGACATAAATGCATCTTCATTACTGAAAAAAAAAAATGCATTTTCGGAACTTAAGGCAGTAGTCTGAAATATTTTTATCTATGAAAATCGCACAATTCTACTTTGTTTGGCATAGATTACCAGATCCTACTCAAATAATTATGGTCATGTAACACCCACCATTAAAATTGGTAGGTAAGTACATAACTATTTGCATAAACACAAGGCTAGAAAACTGGCAAAAGCTTACCTGATACTTTTCAACGGCCAGCCTGTCCTCTTCAATCAGCTTAGACTCCTGTTCAAGTTTCCGAGCGATATAATCCTTAATTACAGATAGAGTGAGGCATGGATTCTGGGACAGTGTTTGAAGTACAACAATAGGTGGTAAAATGTCATCCCTCTCAATATATTTCAAGACCTCTCTAACTTCTCTGGAGCAATCTTCTCCAAGTTCACCAAAGTATTTTAATACGTCAGCCCAAAGAGCAGGATCTCCACCCTTACCTGAATCTCCAAGCCTCTTACAGCATGCAATCAACCCCTCGTGATCATGGGCCTGCATATAGCAAGCAATCACCTCTTTGTACAGTTTCATTTTCTCATATAGAAACAAAAGCCCTTCTCTAAATGCATTCATTTCACAGAGGATAATAACAAGATCTACATCATAAAGCGGATTTTCCTGGTCAGATGGCCATGCACTTTGAAGCAAACGCAATCCTTTTTCACGTCTTATAGCACGGCCTTTCTCATCGTCACTCAGTGATAGTTTCCCATTTGATGAAGGTTTTGACACTGCCGTAACTCCAGATGATATTGTTTCCTTGTCACCAAGGTCTCCATTGAAGCTATACTGTGACATTGAGGGGAAGGCCAAGTCATAGGATAGATACAGTTCCAACAGGGTATTGTGAATTTCCACCTGTGCTGGTGTATCCTTCACTCTATCAGTGTATTTCTCAAGAAAATCCATTAAAGATCGTGGATGATGTACAAAAATATTGAGAAAATCAACAGGAGATGGCAACATGGATAAGGTACCCTTTTTGGCAGGTTTTCCATCCTCTGTACAGAGCTTCAGGAGTATAAGTATGGTCTCCCTAGGTTTGTGCTCTATAAGAATTTTTCCATATTCCTTAACTGTAACCCCAGCTTGGCTAGGATCAAGGCTTGAAATATACTGTAAGGCTTCATCATATCTACCAAGATCTTCCAGTAGAATCTTCAGGTACAACTCATGCCTACCTGCTTTTTTAGCAACATACATCGCATGTTCGTGATAATTAGCAGCACGACAGACTCGTATCACAGTCTCTACATCAAACTTATGCTCCCCACCATCCTCACTTTTAATAAAATAATTCAACTTATCAACATCTTTTAACTTAGTGTAACAATTCAATAAGAGAGTAGTATGATCTTTTGACGCAAGCCCTTTTTCATGTAAATTTTCCAAGTAATTGGTTAGATTGTGGATCCTCTGAGCATCCAGGAATTTCTGTATCACAAATGAAGGTTCAAGGTGACCAATAGTGTGGATGTACTGAGCCATAGCCTGATCATACTCCTGCTTGCTGTATAAGTGATCGCCATATTTTCTAAGGACTTCTGCAGTTGCAGCAGCATCAGCTTGCTGAGTTTGAACAAGATTAATAGCTACAGAATAGAGATTCTTCTTAAAAAGAACATCTAACTTGCTTTCCATATCCTTCTCTCCCACACAAATGGCTGATTTATCAGCCATGATGAGAATTATGTTGCCCCATTCACAGAGCATGTGTGAGACTTCATTAACCGTAGCGCTGTGTGCTATCAATTTGTTCTTCAGGTCATAAATATTAAATGTATTCTTGGTACTTCTTTGATCTGCAATTACACACAAAAGATATCCACGGAACCATCCAAGGAATCTCTTCTCTCCTTCAAATGCCCAGCAAGGACCACGCCCATCATCTTCATAAAAATACACAGCTTCAGGTCGTCCAATTATTAGCTCCTGATTACAGTTGAATTTTTGGCACAAGTCATTTATCAAATATTTATAATGCATGAGAATTACCTTTCAAATATCAAAGAAATTTAAAACAGCATACCGAGCGGTCACTCATTGCAACACTTTTTGTATTACACCCAATCTGATCCAAGGTTTGCCTTTTTGCTGGTTGATATTGGAGATTGAACAAGCTAATAGAAGATGGAGTTGCTGCAAATAGAAGAACGTCTGGACCATCATTTCTGAACCCAAGTCCTGTAATAGCAGCATGACCTGCTGAAGCATTTTCCACTCTAAGTGTAAAACGGGTAATTCGCTCACGAGCAATGTCCCCCTTGATGCAGTAGATGCTGCCATTGTCCAATCCAATGGCAATGAGTAAAATTGGTGGCGCTTCCTCTAGAACTAAGAAGGATGTAATCTGCATGAAAAGATGTGTGATTATAACGACAGTCAAAGGCAGCAACAGAATCAATTCAGCAATCAAGTAAATGAATATAAAATACAGTTAACAGCATGAAGTAACGGAAGCACCAACAGGAAGGAAGAAACTGAAAAAAAACAAAAGATAGAAGATATTACCTTTGCTTCAGGAAATTGGTTAGTAAATATACGTAATATTTGAACACAGTCAGGAACTGATGTGCTCGTGCTTGTACCCTCCATTTGTGTTTTATCAAGGTCAAAAACTTTCAGGCACATAGCTGATGCCTGTGGAGAAATCTGTTCATCTTGGCCAATAGTAAGAAGGTAATTGCGTTGCTGTACACACAGAATTGATAAAAATTAATTAGCATGAACCCTCAAAGGAAATCATCACCACCGCTAATGGAGTAATAGTTACTGTTATCAAGTGGAATTAGCAACCCTTATTCATTTTGAAGGCAAATACCCACAGGATATGCACGTCACATTGCCCTTCTACTTCCACTTTCTACTTTCTCATCAATCTCTCTCATAGTTATAAGGATGATGCTGCAGCATTTATCTCTTTGACATTACCAAGAGTTACATTATACTAAGTTAGGCTTAACAAGTTCATAGGGAGGAAGTCTGGAACATATTATCACAGAGGAAACAACGGGCAGAAGGCTACAACCAATTAATAGCAATACGTCAATCCTTCCAGAGCTGACAAAAGATTTCAAAGGACAATCAAGGTACAAATATGTTACTGAGAGCAACTTCCTTAACTCTGTGCACTTGCGGGGGAGTGTGTCAAGTTTAACTATTTATCAGACCCCTAGAATTGAACAGAGACCAAACATATATTTGAAAATTTTCTAACCTTCATTAAATCATAAACAAAGTTTCAACACAGTCTGAGTAAAATCAACTCACACAACAGTCCGCTACTTTCATATGAAAAGTATCAATCCTCTCAAAACGATGAAGGCATGTTTTCGTAATTTGGTTTTGGAAGTACTTTTATTGCATAATGTAAAACACTAGGCTTTCTATGACACCCAGATGAAACAAAGCCTTAAGCCATATGCCCACATTAATTTTAGCAATTAGCAAAGACTTGGGGTAAGTTATATAGTTTAGCTACGCTTGAGAGCCAGTAGAACATTCACCAAGATAATTTTTCAGATGAGATGCTCACATAGTTCTCAAATACACAGATACTTATATGTTATTATTTTCCTGGATTCCAGCAGCACAAATGGCAGGGTGGCGCCTGATGCACCTATAAAATTGCAATATTCATCCTGAAACTCTATAAGAATCTACTTGCAAATACTGGAAAACATGCTTGTCTTTCACTAATCAAGACTCAAAAGTGATTTCATAAGTTCTAGAAATTCACACTCATCCAGAGCATAAAAAGGGATTGAGCTCAACTCTAATTCTCCTCACTCGCCTCGTGATCTTAATAAGACTTCAAGTTATGATATTCATACTCAAATTTCCCAATCCCTTCCCCCATCCTTTTAAAATTGAGCTTCTTAGGATCATGTTGGCAGTCTACAGAAAGCAAACAAAATGCATCACACATAAATTTTATGCCTCATTTCCATTATTATACAATATGCACATCACCTATTCTATAAAACTATTAATCATAATACTAATCCACTATAATTGGTTCAACCAACCTTTGCCTAACCCAAATTTGCCAAAATTCCATTAAGGTTACCATTGCTACCCAATCATCGAAGAGACGGGTTGGCAAGTTGGCATTGCATTACTAGCAACATGAAATCCATGAATTAATGTGACCCAAATAGACCAACCCATATGCCAAAACCATATATTTCAATAGCTACCAAACTCAAAATAAATAAATAAATAAATAAATAAATAAATAAACCCAAATCAACTTCAACCCAAATTGATCAATTTCCAGACTATACTGAAGTAGAAACAAAATCCCACATCAAATTCATCCAAAATTTCTAGGGCATCTCAATCCCAATTCCCAAAATTAAAATTCAATAGCTTCTAAACCCAAAAAACAACAAAAGATGATAAGTCAATCACATAGAGAATTCCCAAATTTCGAACTAAAATCAAAGTCAAACAAAACCCCAGATCAAAACCATCCAAAATGAAGAAAGAAATATAGAGATTGAAGAAAACAAAAAAACCTTGAGTTGTTGAAGAAAAAGGACGGAAGAAGAGTGAGCTTGGAAGGCATAATTGAACTTGAAACCTCGATCAAGAATACTAACATTCCCATCATCACATCCAATTGAAACTTTCCCTCTTCCACTAGAACAACACTTGATTTCCCCAGTAATTTCATCAGGTACCTTGAATTTTCCACCGTATTTTTCTTCAAAAAACTCGAATTTCCTCCATTGATACATTGTAAATCGCTTGAATTAGAATGAAGATTAAATCAGAAGCTTAATTTGAGTCATGAGATAGAAGAATTGGTTGTATAGTAGTTAAAAAATGTTTGCTTTGGAAAATTTTGGCCACGAAGGAGAGAGAAAGTGAGAGCGTTTGTATTGGAAAGATCTGGCACTAATCGCTGGATTTGCTCTCTTAATGCTTTTTGATGGAAGCAGGTAACAATTTGAATGTGTAAAAATTTGGAAGTCTCATTTTATCTCTTTGATAAACATACTCGTATGTTGTTTATGACGAAGGGTAAAATCGTGATAAATCGATTGAAATAGGAGTTTTACCCTGAAATTACTATTTCAAGTCTAAACATCCAAGATCGAATACTTTTGAGAATAAAATAATCACCAAACTGAGGATATGATAATAGATAATCTAATCTTGAAGGTTTTTTTTTATTATTATTTATTATTATTATTATTATTTTTATCTTCGAACAAATATGATAAAATTGAGTTTGGGAGTGTTTGATAATACTTAAGAAGTAAGAAGTAAGGAGTAAGGAGTATATGTTGAGGTTATTTCCTAAAAGATGGATTGAGATAAGAAAAGTAGCTTCTGCAAGTTAAAGTATATCACAAGCCGAAAATATATCGTTTAATTTATTGGTAAAATCGTTACTTTATATAGCTACCCTTTTGTATATCAGCCTTATTAAGCAGGGGTCGCTCCATTACAAGCATCTCATGCACAAAATTGAGGGGAAGACAAAAAAGGAGAAAGAGAGTTCTCCAAACAAGCTGTCGTTTTTGTCATTTGTTCGAGATCCAAATGGAGTCGTTCAATGCCAAATTTTGACACAAAGTTCTTGTCATCCTATGCTACATATTTTATGGTTGAATTATCGTTTTGTGCTATAAATGTTGTCAATTTCTATTTTAGCCCTAATTCCTCTTTATGGTTGAATTTATCAACTTATTAGTGATGTATATAAAGAATGGTTTGTTCCAACATGTTGTTTGATGTTATAAAGCCTCTAACATTGCTTAGAAGGATAATTTGACATACCCATTAATTATTATTGATAGTGGAAGGGCTTGGTGTCGATTTACAACATTTTTTTTTCTGATTTGGATTTCCATGTGTAGCTTGGTGTGCTTTAGGCTATTTAGAATTGCTTGTTGCTGACCATATCGTGTTTTCTCGAGTTTGATAGTGTTTGCCCATTCTACAACACACTAGGGCTTAATGAAATAAGGGGGCGTTTGGTTCGCGGATTATAAGTATTAGGTATGGGTTTAGAATGACCAAAACTCATACCATATGTTTGGTTGTCAAAAATATAATTTTTAAATTCATACCTCAAACCCATGAGGTATGGGTTTTAGAAACCTTGGCACTACTACAAAAATGGGCAAAGAGACCCGTTAAAATATGCATAAGAGACCTCATTTGGACGGGTCTCTATCTCAGGGGTCTCTTTGATAAAGAGACCCTTCTAATGGGGGGGTCTGTTTAGTAGAACAACAAGACCTGTTGTTAGAGATAAGGGGTCTGTTAGGTAAGGTATGGAATTGATATTTTAGAAGGTAAACAGACCCGTCTCTTGAGATAGGGGGTCTCTTTGGTGGTATCAGTGAAACCAGTTACGTTAGATAACGGGTCTCTTGTTGTATTTTTGAAAATTAAAAAAAAAAAAATTACATTTCATATGTACAATTCGCATTTGAAATTTGTATTTTTATGTTGAATTCAAATTGGCGGAATAACATTGTATTAAATAGAATTCATGATATACAATCAAAATCAACAAAAATTAGATTGAACCATAATAATAAAAATAAAATTATTTAACTTCACTAAAAATTACAAATATAGTTACATCAATATGGAGCTTGAGTACTATTTCCAAGTGAGATTTCTGTTTAGCATATGCACATCTGACAAACAAAAAAGAAAGAAAAAAAGAATCAATATCATTGAAAATAAACCCAATAATTAATGAATAAAATAAGTGATGCACAATTAATTAAACACTACAACCAGGCAGGCCGCAGGCCACAATTATATATGTAAATGATATACGAAGTATATGGAAATGGAAAAGGTGTGACCTCTGCTTAATCAATCACCCAACCATGATTCAGGGCACCTGCAAACCATAGTACGAATCCACCGCTTCCGCAAGCTTAGACCACCAGCGTAGCCTTGCCTTCTTAACAATTATATCAACCAAATTTTCACGCTATTAAAAGGAATTGTACAATAAATATGAGGATAATTTGACAAAAAAAACAGATTAAAATGCATAATCACTTACTCCCTTCATTCATCAAATTTTAGGGCCATTAGTTTTTCCCGTCTTATTGAGACTTCCTGTGTCAAATAATCAAACCAAATGAAGTTAAAAAAAAAATAACAAATAAACGGATAGTTATTAGCGAAAAAAAAAATTAAATGTTTAATTAATTCAGCAAATTTTTTTTATATAAAAAAAATGAAACCCTAGATCTAATCCATCCAAATTACTCTTCACTAGGGATGGCAATGGATCTGGACCCGACCCGGATCCGTGGATCCAGATCCGTTTTTTACGGATCAGGGTCTTCAAATTTTGGACCCGACGGATCCGGGTCCTGCTGACAAAAACGGATCTGGATCTGGGTCTGGGCCCTAGACCCGGATCCAGATCCGTGGACCCGTTTTTTTAATTTTTCCGATTAAAAAAACTAAAATTGTTTGTTTCTTTATTAAAAATGTTGATAATGTTAGTAATGATAAAGATTAACCCTTTCAAGAGATGAATTTTGGATGCTCATATTATATACAGCATCGTTGTTTTTTCACTAGCTCATATGTAACATCGTATTTTTTTTTTAATGTTTATAATTTTAATTCAAAATATGAGTGTATAAGTTGGTTAATTTGGGGTTGAACTTAATTAATAACCATAAGTTTGAAATAATTTTTTTGACCCGAACATTACATTTATTGCAAAAAATTAGGCAAAATATATTGGACCCGTTTTGGACCCGGATCTGGACCCGGATCCGTTGGACCCGATTGATCCGGGTCCGGGTCTTCATTTTCTAGACCCGACGGATCCGGGTCGGATCTGGATCCTATATACAAAAACGGATTTGGATCCAGGTCCATCCGGACCCGGTCCAGATCCGACCCGTTGCCATCCCTACTCTTCACAATTCAGAAGCTAATCTAATATCTAACTCAAAACAACAAAATCGCAATTAGCAACAAATTAGATATGAATTCAGTTTACAAATTAGCAATTGACCAAAAAAAAACTTAACCTTTGAATAATTGAAGAAGAAACTCGAACTATGCCGTAAAAAGAAAAAGAAAATTCGAACTATAGCCGTTGTTGTTGTGTGGTCAACCGGATGCCGCCTTAAGTGGTGGTGAAACACTTGTAAATCAGATCTTGGTTTATTTGGTGATTGTAGTGCTGTCAAATTTCAAACCGAAACCGTTTAACTGCCCGAAACCGACCGACCCAAATGAGAACCGAACCGATTAAAAACTGATTTTTTTGAAATCGAAAACCGACCCGAACCGTATTTTAGTAAACCCGAGACCGAATCGACCTGAATAATGTTAAACCGTATAAGAACCGAACCCGTTAACAAACCGAGCCGAATATAAACCGAACTGAAAGAAAACCGAACCGAAAAAGAACCGAACCGTATCTAACCCGAAACCGGTACCAACCCGAAACCGTTTAAACTTGCAAAAAAACCGCTTACACCGAACCGTTAGCAAACTGCTACCCGTTTGCACCGAACCATTTAAAAACCGAACTGATTGTAAACCGAAATGATTATAAACCGAACCGTTTATGAACCAAACCGCTTCTAAATCGAACCGTTTACAAACTTTTTTATATAATTAAATGGATTTTTTTTTTTTGACGGGGATATAATTAAATGGATTAAATATTAGAAATCTTAGAATATTTTTTTTAAAATAGCAAGGCAAATCATTCATTAAGGTCTTAAGGATAATTAGTGTTCACAAACAAGAGCAAAACAAGCAGGCTCAGGCCCTGCCTCAAACTATTAGCAACACTACTGCCTCTAGTCATGTATACATTTGAGGTGATGAAACCAAATGAACAAAAATCTTGTAATATTAAGTACCAAGGCTTGGTTGAAGGCGTAATAAATAAAATTAATTCACAGAGACTATTAAGCATATGATTACATTGATTCTGTGAGTAATAATGAAATAAAAATGGGAGTGTGCTAGTGACATGAATATACTATTAGGCTATGTTTTAATTCAGATTCAACTATAATTTAGTAAACTTGAAATGGAACCGATATGAATAACGTTAAAGTGGTTATGTAATTGAAGAACCGAACCAGTTAAAAACTGAACCGAAAAAGAACCGAACCAGTTATAAACTGAACCAAAAAAAAACCGAACTGTTTCTAACCCGAAACAGTTTCCAACCCGAAACAGTTTCCAACCCGAAACTGTTTGAACCGGGATAAAAACCGTTTACACCGCACCGTTAACAAACCGCAACCCGTCTGCACCGAACTGTTTACTACCCAGACTGTTTACAACCCGAACCGAATTAAAACCGCTTAAGAATAAACCAAAACCGAATCGAACCGATAACTATTTAAATCGAACCAAAACCGACCCGTGAGACAATTAAACCGATTCCAAACCGACCCGATTAAATACCGAACCGATTTCAAACCGAATCGAAACCGAACTGTCAAACCGTTTTGACAGTGCTAGGTGATTGATATCTAAAGTACTTCAATTCTTTGGCGACTTGATGAAGTAGATTGTAATAATTTTAGGTGATAAAAATAGAAAAAGGAGATGATTCCAATGTGGGTTTTAGACAGAGAGAAGGAGCAAAGGAAATAAAACCTTCAATAAGTAAAACGACAGGCCTTTTGCATCTCACTCTCTTTTTCCCACCACAGTAGTGGACCCTAGTACATTTAAGAGACCCGTTTAATTTACCAACGGGTCTCTTATCTATTAGACTTATTTTCTTCTACACATAAGAGACCCGTTACCTCTAATATTAGATCTTTTACATCAAGCATACCTATTATTGAGATAACGGGCCTTTTATTAGGGGTCACTTTTCTAGATTTTGTAGTAGTGTGGGGGGAAGGTGGGTTTGGCTCATTCCATTCCCTTGCAAATATATGAAATTAAGGGGATGATATTTCATTCTATAATTAAACCAAACAGATGATATTAAGTATCAAGTTCCAACCCGATATCACCTTAACCCTATTCCTGATTCCAAACCTATACTACTCTGCGAACCAAACACTCCCTTTGTATCTTGGATTCGTAATTATGAATTTTGTGTGCATCTTTCCCAACAATATAAAAATGAATGTATCTTGGATTTACCTTTTGGCATATATTGACTCTCAATACCTTTTAACAGTTGGGCCTAGTCCTAGCTAGTGGACTTCTTTTGGGATATGTGGCCCAAAAGGGTCTGCAATTGACTTTCCTAAATTATGAATTTGGACCGTTTGCAGGCCTAATTAGGCAAGCTATTTGACCTGCAAATGTGTCTTTGGCAAAATTGCAGCTAACTTAGGGTTTGTTCTCTCCAACTTAATTTCAGTTCAATTCAATTTATTTTAGCATTAATTAGTTCGGTTCAGTTCTTAATTTTTTTTCTCTTATTAAATATTTATTTTTTAACTCTATTCGGTTCAATTCAGCTCCAATCAGTTTAGTTCAATTCAATTCATCTTAACTCAGTTCTATAAATAAGTACATGCCCTTATTCCTTTTACTTATACTTTTTACAGTTAATTACTTACAAATCTATTTCGTATTTTTCATCTCACAATCACGAGGTTATAACTTAGAGATTTAGAGATGGTGATTAATTACCCTTCCCCTATTCTTAAAAGCTTTGCCTGTGTACCCAAATCAAGTTGGCTAATGAGAGGCTCTGATTTAATAAAAAGCTTTCTCCTTATTTATCATCAAAATAGAAATAATAAAAATATTAATGACATGAAAAGCAGTAAAAAAAGACGAAAACTATAACATCCATCGACGGAATGTGGAGAAGAAGCCACGTTACATTTGATAAAATCTATATGCATGAATAACACGTCACCCTTAAAAAGTTCATTCCACGTGTCAGTATAATTAATAGCAACAAAAATATAAAATTCATATTTAAAATTATCCTAAACAGTAAACACTAATCCACCACGATCTAGCTCATCATTGTGTATTGAGCAGATAAAATACCAAACAAAAATTAATTTGTTAAATTCATAGAATCGGAGTAAAAATTTATTAAATTATGTTTGTAGTAGTTGTAATCAAATTAGGATAATAATGGCTAAAGTATCAACTTGGAGAATAATTATAATAGCAATGGTGCTATGTTTTGTATTCTATTATCTCACAAATTCTCCATTACAAAAAAAATTAGGACAGTTGCATTGTTTTACTAGTCGAGGAAGCCATTACTGGAACAAGTTTAACCTGCCTCCGATTCCGGAACAATTCTACCTCTTTTGGCCGTCTTCTCAGCATATCGAGTAAGTTCGATCCCTTACTTTTATTTGTCACAGATGAAATTTAATCTCAAGTCTTAAGTGTAATGTACGATTATTACGTAGTATTCTAGCTTGTACCAATTAATTGCTTGTTTGGTTGATTGAACATAGGAATTAGTATTTCTAAGAAGTTGTTGGATGTTTCTACTGCAGTTGTTTGAAATATGACTATCTTATTATTTTAATGATAAATAATATAAACGATTTATTTTTTCACACTATAAATTGGATACAATTAGTGTTCTAATTTCTATAGTGCAAATATAATTTTTGAAGCTACTCTCATTTATAGCTTATTAGCAAATTTGCATCTCAATGGTTAACTAGCTTGTGAACCAAATTAATTAATTTTTCATTCAACTTCAAAAATGGTGGTTAATAAGCCCGTCACAGTGTTGTGACTAATTTCTCATTTCAAATATAAAAGTTAGCCCGTGACATGAGGAGAAGATTTTGATCACATACAAATCCAATCTATATTTTAAGACGATTAGTGATAGTAGGAGTAGCTCACCAACTAAAGTGTTGTTCACTTCACCTTAAAAAAATAATATTCAGTAAAAATAATTTTAGTTCAATAAAATCAGTAACTTTAAAAATAAAATATAACAGAGAATCAGTAAAAATAATTTCATTAATAAACCGACAATTAGTCCCGATCCAGCTCACATGTGAGTTATTTTCCTAACAATTATTAACAATGTGGTAATATTTGTTGTATAGGAGAAATGATGATATAGGGCTCCCAATAGTTGAAGCCAATATAGCAGATGAAAGGGAAAAGAACAAGGTATTAGAAGCAGCTGAGGAGAGTATAGAGAAAACAAAAATGATGATGGAGGATTCTGCTAAAACCGCGGCGGAGATGGTTGGCGAGGCGGTGCACAAGACTGCGGACATTATGAAGGAGGCCTTCTCTCATCACCATCACCAGGATGAACTTTAATTCAAACCATAATTTTAAGCATTTTTATCTTAATTTTTATTTTCTTTTCTAATATTATACTATGCCTTTTTTATCCATAAGTTACATGGACTATAGAGTTTGTTTTATATTATAGGATGCTTAATTATATTAGAGTGCTAATCAAATGTACTTTGTCTATGTTCTCTTGCAAGCAAATTGAAGCTTTGAACTTAATTAGGTCAAAACTTAACCAAAGTCTCTACTCGATAAACTCAGGGTTCTTTTGTTAACATGATATATCCGGATGTTAATTAACTCGGTTATAGTAATATACTAATATCCAGCCACCTGACCCGTCCTTGATAAAGTAAAACAATTACAGAAGCATGAGGAATTATTCAAATCCAATAGGATGTTCAACTTTGTCTTAAAATAACCTTTTATGCGTGAGATCAGAATTAAATTACATACAAACTCAATAAAAATGTTATATTAAGTGATATCAATGTAAAGGGCACCAGATCGGGGTTAGTAGCTTATCAAATTCTACGAGTATATAAATCAATATAAATATAAAGTGTTCGTAAGACGTAACTTGCCTTTCAATACGTATGATATATTTTAGGTTTATTATATGTTAAGATATTATTTAAGTATATCTTTTAGGAAGATTGTTTCCTATCTTATGTTCTTAGGTTTTGTATAAATACTCAACCTATTGATAAATAAAAAACAAGCAATACAAAAACCATTCATTATATTTCCTCCCTAATTTGTCAAATACGTATGAAAAGAACATAACTCAATGTGATAAATTAAAGTTCACGTACGATATCAATTGATGATATCTACCCTTAACATAATGTGTATGTGTTATCAATTTTGGCAACTCAATGGCATGATGGAACGGCCCGACGTTATCGGCCCATGGGCCAAATGTGAATCTTTGATTAAAAAACATCAAATTCAAATTATGGAAGACATCCTTAACAGATCATAAATGTTGGGTTTGAAACATTCAAAGTTCAATTCAAACAAATAATTGCTTGATGCTTCATCTAAATATCTAATCATCTTCGTGTACCTACCATTTTGCTAGCGTGACATATAAAACCATATTATATACGTACATAAAAACAAAGTCGCATCAATTTGTCACAATTGCATGTGCCTTAAACCTCCCACCTCCACCAATTTGTAAATAAGTAATCTAATTATAATTTGACTTGTAATTAATTAGCCTAATACTACTTATATTATTAATCCAAGTCAATAAACTCGTAAAGTCAAGAAGCATGTCTGTTAAATTATATGGTATGTGTGTCAATCATATGATTGGCATAATGTTGATTGTAAGCCAAAAAAACAATCTTTATGAAGATAATTTAGCCAAATTAAAGCCATAATCATAGCATAATGAGGCTATATTAAATATTAATTTCTTCACGTAGATATAACGTTCATGACATGCATGTATAATTGCAATAATAAGCAACAAATAATACACCCTAACATGCAAGTTAAGTAATAAGTCTAGTTAGTTGTTAATTCATTATCCTTTAATTTAAACAACATTAGGTTCACTATATATATAAAGGAGAGTTTCTTAGCAATTCTCATCATCACTTAGCTTGAACATAATTAATTAAGTACTTAGCATTCGTTAAACAAGCTAGCTAGTTCGAGAAAATGAGGTGTACCACTCCTTCGATAGCCTTAGCCCTAGGGCTCGTTCTAGTAACCCTTGTTAGCCAATGTTATGGTCAATTGTCTATCGGATACTATAAGGATAAATGTTGGGGTCATAACGTTGAAGAAATTATTTTCAGCGCAGTTAAGGCTGAATTCATTAAGGATCCAACTATTGTTGCTGGTCTCATCCGATTACAGTTTCATGATTGCATTGTTAGGGTAAGTAAATTCGATAATGAACTAGATGTTATCAATTTATTATCAATATTAGCTAATTAATACTTATTTCGCGGTTTTGTTTCTTTGTTAAATTTAGGGATGTGATGCATCAGTCCTACTAGATGGGCCAAAATCAGAGAAAACAGCAAATCCAAACTCAAGTCTTAGGGGTTTTAATGTTGTGGATGCTGCAAAGGCGGCCGTAGAGGAAGTTTGTCCCGGAGTTGTCTCTTGTGCTGATGTACTTAACATGGCTGCTAGAAGTGCTGTGTTTTTGGTGAGTATGCAAATCTTTTCATAATCTCAATTTGATCATTTGGTATACTTACAAATTTGTACACAATAATAACCTATTTACCATCATTAATTAGTTGTTAATACAATTATATACTTTGTATATGATACCTCAAACTAATCAAAGTTGCAATGCAGGCTGGAGGTAAATGGTATTATGTAGAAACAGGACGACGAGATGGTGTTGTTTCACAAGTAGAAGAAGCCCTTGCTAATCTTCCATCAGAGAACTTGCCAGTGCGTGACGCTGTCCATCTATTTGCTTCAAGAGGACTAAGCAAGGAAGACTTTGTTGTTCTTCTAGGTATGCATTATTAACTTCAATTCACCTAAAAATAAAAGAAAAGTTGTTAAATTTTATGGACTTTGTGTTATTTTAATGTCTATATAGACTATACAATTAAACTTATAACGTCGATCATACAGGTGGACATACTGTTGGATTTACACACTGTGAAAAATTTGACCATCGTCTATACAATTTCCACAACACCGGTAAGCCAGACCCTAGGATGCATACCGGTATGCTATATGCATTGAAGAAAATGTGTCCAAAAGACGGTAGTGGTGCTCACAACAAGGTTTACTTCGAGTACAACCCGAAAAAACATTATCACTTTGACAATGGCTACTACAAGCAACTATTGGTAAACCAAGGAAAGCTTGAGATTGATGCAAACATAGGAAGGTCTCCACTTACTAACAGCATTGTGAAAAAATTGGCCTATTCCCCTGATTATTTCGTCAATAGATTTGGCTCTGCAATGGTTAACTTGGGAAGAGTTGGCGTTCTTACTGGTAATCAAGGAGAGATTAGAAGATCTTGTCGTGCTGTTAATCACTAAAAGGACTAATGATTTTGTACTACTCGTAAATTGTTCAACTATGTATGACATTGTTTTTTTTTTTTTTTTTTTTCTAACTGATGTATTAATAAAGTTTGGCTTTCTTGAGGCATAATTCTGTAATAGCTTCAGAATTTGATTTATAACAAATCATTTTAGTAGCATGTTTTGTGTATGATACAAATGTTAAGCGCGTTCTGTTCTTTGTACTGCCTCATGAATTGATTCTTCTTCGTTTCATTTCACAATCACGGTGTCCTTGTTATAGCAGCTAACAAGGCGCGATTGTTATCCTGCACACTGACTCCTTAGCTTCTCCATACCATAAAACAAAATCTAGTCAAGATTTTAAGGTCTGTAACATGTTCAGCAAACTAATGTGAGCTGTGCCAAATAAAATAAAAATTAAAAAAGCAGTTTGATTCTTCAGGTGATCTGAAGAGAGTGGCGAACCCTTGTGCAACAATATGTGCAATTTTCATCACAGCTTGTGTACTTGCACCAGCCGGGAATCGAACCCGGGTCTGTACCGTGGCAGGGTACTATTCTACCACTAGACCACTGGTGCTTGTTGAATGTTAGTTAACTTTTTTTGTAGATACTATGTGTCTATAAAGGTCATTCTTTTTCTAACCTTGGCCAATGATTATACTTTTATCTTTTCAATGTACTTCATTCAGTTTCTCCTTTTAATTCTTAATTATTGTGAAAAAAATCACAAAAAAAAGTCAAAAAATACGGTGTATTATGAGATAAAGGGAGTATCAATTTATGATAGAGTGCAAACATTTTTAAGCTAATTACTCGAATTTTTTATAGTTATTAATGTGAAATTGTGAATAGAATTGGAAGATTTTGATGAGAAATGGATAACACTCTAGACGGTTGGTAAGATAATTACTCTAATTAGCGATTCGGGTAATAATGATAGGGTAATGTTAGTTCTCATGATATATCCCCCACCTAAGAACATAAAGCCATAGAGGTCTACATTGAAGCTATAGACCATCTTATCTTCCTATTGACACTTCACAATATGTTGTGTTTTCTTCCCTTTTGATGCGTAACGCGATCCTAAAATTCATGATTAACATTTTAAATTATGATGTGGAATTTTTTCTTCTATGATTGGTCTTAGGATTAATGTGTAATTTAAGAAGTTTTTCAATTAGCACCTTTTAAAAACCAGAGTTGAAGTTTACCACTCATTATTTCTGCATAATTTGCACATAGCTTTTCAAATAATACTCAAAGTAACAGCTTAAACCTCTTCAGTATGCTTCTTAGTCATGGGTGTGCGATAATGATTACTTTTACTACTGTCCTGTCCATCTATAGCATTGAGTTAGTTCCTGAATGTATACTTAATGTTCTCCTGAATTGCCTGAAAATCACATCATTCTTGCATCATTTGTGTAACAGAGTGATAAGAAGCTGTCATATTAACTTAAGATGCTGCAAAGATGGACTCAATTAACCATTTAGCTGGACTAAGGTTTCTAATGCTCTCTAAGAAAATGAGGTTCAGGTGGCTAACTGGCTACCAAACAGCAGCAACTCCCTGCACACCTTAATTCTTTGAGGCTACACCTCACTCGCTTCCCTGAGCACGCCCATAAGGACTGCACCAGCCAACAATACTATCCCGCGCACCGACTCCTAGCCCCTCATATCATCAGGAAGTAGCTTTGCTCTGCAATCTGCATTGGCTATAACTTGATCTCAAACTTCTACTGTTTCTAATGCAAGAAACAAAAAGATAACAAAGCTCAGCTGCACAGTTTGCTTCTTCAGGTGTTCTGAAGAAAGTGGCGAACCCTTGGGCCACAGTATGTGCATTTTTCATCACAGCTTGGTTTAGTGCACCAGCCGGGAATCGAACCCGGGTCTGTACCGTGGCAGGGTACTATTCTACCACTAGACCACTGGTGCTTGTTTGATATTTGTTAGCTATTTTTGCAATTAGAGTATGACCACTTTATTGTTTGGAATAACATATACAAAGTAAGCAAACATCATTTCCTCTATCACTTATTAGAATTTTTGAGTGGAACTTTTGCAGTTTAAATAAATTTATCTAGATAATTTATGTTACCATTGGCAACTCATATATTCATATGCTGTGTTTTCTGCCCTTCCATTGCACATTGTGGACCTAATAGTCATGATTAATATTATACTAGTGTATAGATTACAGTATAATTTGAAAAGTTTATTCTATTGTTGGTCATAGAATGTAATGTTTAATTTAGGAAGTTTTTAGGTTAGCATCTCAAATTCGATTATACTAAAACAAGAGTTGAAGTTTACCACAAGTTTTCAATAAATTCCTGCATAAGTTGCTCATAGCATTTCCAGCTTTGCAATGCAACAGCTCAAACATTTTCCGGTATGGTCCTTAGTAAGGCTTTAATGGCTGTTTTACTCCTCTAGTCCTGCACATTTTTGGCATCAAGTTAGTTCCTGTTATCTATGGCTTATATTGAATATATTCTACAGAAATGCCCGAAATATTGCATCTTATCAGATGCTGCAAAGATGGACTCAATCAACCAAGTAACAGGGCTGCTTCTGCATTAGTGATTTCGGTTAGTAGTTTAATTTTAACCTAATGTTTGTTCTAGTGCTGTTCAAGGAAACTTAGTTCAGGTGGCTACCAAACAGCAGCAACTCGCTGCACAACCCGAACGCCTTGACCAGCAGGCTGCACCTCACTCTCTCCCTGAACACTGCCAAAATGGAATCTTCACCAGCTAGAATTTCAGCTGTGCGGTGCACCATTCCAACACAGAAAACAGAATTTCGGTCATTCGACATCGACCATGCCAGCATTGCAACCCTCTCCATCTCTATCAATCTACCACAGTGCAACTCTATCAAGTATCAACACCAGTCCAAAATGGCAATACTAAAATGAAATTCCTTCACAGCAAGTAAATCAGACAATATTTTCATAGAAATTTTTGCCAAATGCAACAATGACACAAGATTACCAAGGAAAAAATCAATATATTATACACACAAAAGAATCAAACAATATAGTAACACATATAATTAATTTTCAATATAAATTTGTCAAATTCCAATTACATTACAATATTACATTCACAAATGAATATTTGATTACACTCAAAAATCAATAATCCCCTATAAGAAAAACAAAATTTACAACCCCATCTTCTCAATTACATATAAAAACAATCCCTTATACTATTACAAAAGAATTCACTCAAAATCTCAAAGCAAACCACAAAGAACAGAAAACCCTAAAACAATAAGCCAAATCAAATGAAACAACAGAAAAGCTTGACCCGATCCACCACTTTCAACTTCACAATACCCAGATTTTACGACCCGAGTACCCGCACAATGAGCATCAGCGCAACCGCACCAGTAAGTTACACCATTTTCGCCGCAAACCGGGTCGGGTCGAAAACATTTAATCGGGCAAGATTTTCCAGAAGGTTCTGATTCTTCAATCGAGCATAAATTAGAATCGCTGACGAAAGTATTGGTGGGCAATTGAATGATGGAGGATTGGGTATCGGATATTACGATTTGGGTGGAGGAGATGAATAGGAGAGAGAGAATTAGGAATGATAAATTGGGAATTTGGGGTAACATTTTAATGGGGTGGGTTTAATTTTCAAAGTTAGGGTTTGAGACGAAATGAAATTGGGGCTTCTCAAACCCTAGAATTTTGGGAATTGGGGAAAAATCAGACTTACGGGATATTGGGGGAGAACAGGAAAAAGAAATTGATTTTATTTTAGTTTTATCTAGAAATGGTAAAAGAGGAAATTGTCGTTAAATTACAAGAAGTCTTATTGGTATTACAACTTTATGACTATTATGAGTACTGCCCGTTCGCCTCATACCCGCATTCATATATTTTTACCAAAGAATACAAGTAAATTAAAAATGATGCTACAAAAATGTCATTTAAATAAAATTTAGGAGAGTATATGTATATAATATAATATTTTATAACACGTGTCCTCCATACCAAGTGTTTGGTTGTTGGTGTAGTGGTGATTGAGACTACACTTGGTAGGGAGGACCTGTGTTCACTCCCCTGCAACAACAATCAGAAGGGGAGTGAAACCTAATAGCCTAGAACAAATCCTCAAATCTGGATTAGCCCAAAGGGTGAACCGGATAGAACACCCAAAACACAATGCATATATGACGGGAATTAACTTATCCTTTATCTATCTTATACAAAACTCCAAAGTCTAAATTTTTTTCAATATATAATAACATTTGTAAATTTTTGTTAATATGAAAGATATAAACCTATCAAAATGTATATATAGTTAAATTGTTTAATAACTTATATCGAATGCGTAGTTTTATTAAAATTATTTGCATGTAATCATAAAATGTATTGGATGTTGTGTAGCTATGCAATGTCCAAAACTTTAGTTGAGCGACTTTGATTTAGTGATTGTACGGTAAAAAGATATTGACTTCGATCTTGAAACCTAATAGTCTAATAAATTCTAAATAGAAATATTAAAACAAAAGGAAATGAAAATAGTAAATGGCTTTAAATATTGAAATAAACATAATCTTTTAAATCAATTTAGCAAATTCAAGAGACAATTTTAAGGCTTTTAAAATTAAATGGGGGAAAATATATGTAAAAAAGAACATTTTTAGATATATAAATGTCCATGCACTATTATAAGAGTTTTGTTAATCATTTTAAGGTAGGGATAAATCTTAGTAATATATACTCCGTATATTTTATTTATATAAAATTATCAGTATCCATACCTATATACGAAGTATTTGTGTTGTATACTATATTTAATCAGTTGTTGGTTATATATATGACTATTATATGATACATAGTTTTTGGCACAATGCTTAACTTAGGAAAATTTATGTTCTGGTAGGTCAAATATAAGGTTATTATTGTGTCTATAGATTTAATGAGTGCGACGGGTAAATAAAGCATGTATATATTAGATTGATTGTAGCTACTGATGCGGATGGTATGATAAGAAAATTTTAGTTTTTTCTCAACGGGAGATATAAATAAATTAGTCCACTTCTTATATAGCTATGTGGAGTATTATTATTCAATTATTTTTCAATAAATAAAATAACATTATAAAAAATTAAAAGAAATTCAAATAACATAAAATACTATTCAAATAACGTTCCTTTAATTTTTTTTTATTGACCATTAGTAACCAAGTCCTTTAATAGTAAATGAATTTCCTTTTTTTTTATTTTTATTTTTCCTACGGATTAAATAGTTTGATTTATAAACCGTGCATCGCACGGACACTATGCTAGTTGTTCTCTAAACCTTAATCAAAACTTAAATTCGCTGTAAATTAACATTTTAATATGCAGAATTGAATCCACTATATTACAAAGGTTTGTTTAAGTTCAAGTTCCCCGTATTACTGATTAATTTAGCTCTCGTGTAAATCCTTCAAGAGGAATGTACTCTAAAATATACTTTGGTCGCTTTCTTAGCAATAATTTGATGATTATTTTTGCCAACATACAACATATATTGAACATAAAAATCTTTAATTGTTCAATCAGTTAAAATTTCGGATTATTTATATAAACATCTAAATATCTAATCATAGCCACTTATCCAATTACAATTTAAAAGTCAAACTGTTGTAATAGAAGACTTTTATTAGATGAAAAAATGTATAAATATATAAATATAAGATATTGAAAACTCAATGTGAGACTGTCACCTTAATTATTAATGAACTTATATGGAAGGAGATTAAGTTAAAGTTGAAAAGTATCTTCTTCTTTTTTTTTTTTTTCTTTTTTCTTACACTTGTTCTAAATCATCTTATAGGCTTATAGCGTGTGAGTCAATTAGGACATGTTATGTTCACCGTACCTTAGTTTCAATTATTTCATATCTAATAAGTTCAGTTAAGCTCAAATTAATTTAAATAAGGGCATGTTCATATTTACTGAACTGAGCTGAATTGATTGGAGCTGAATTGAACTGAACTGAACTGGATTGAGCTGAAATAAATATTTTATGAGAGAAGAACATTAGGAGCTAAAGTAAACTAAACTGAAATTAAGCTGAAGTGAACGGACCCTAAATTCAGCTCGGGAAAATAAGTTTTTGATAAGGGTTACCCAAGTTAAAATTTACAACTAGAACAAGTTTTCAATAAGGCCTAGTAAGTTCAGATAAACAAAAAATCAGGTGAATAGAATATACCCACATTTGCTTAACAATAGCTGTGATTTGTCTAGGATCAATAATGCTGAATAGGGTTTGGGTTGGAAGTCTTAGCTAGCCATGAAAATAATTTTGTTAATTATTTTTGTTTCTATATATTTATTTTCTATATTTTCTTAATAAATTTTCTTAATGATATAAATTGGAAAAATACTGTATATACTTGTATTATTTATTTCAAACATAGAAAATGTGATTTACTTCCACTTTTATCAAATTTTTTATGAAATAAAATCAGAGAATAATTATAAACATAGAAAGTGAGATATGCTCCTTTCTATCCAAAAGATTATTGCCATACAGCTAAATATTACCGAATTTGGACCAATTAATCCTCTATAAAATTCATGTATACTGACCATAATAATCATTAAAAAAAATCTCATCAAAAACTTTTTTTTCTAGCATAAATTATACATTTACATTTTACAGTAGAAATGGTTAGATTAGTTATGCCATTCTTTTATTGTTTCTTGGCTATTACAATAGCATTTTCGTTAAGCTGCCAAGCTGCTAGCGATGGGTGGACCGATGCCCGTGCTACATTTTATGGTGACGGGAAAGGAGGAGAAACTATGTGTAAGGCTCGAATTTATTCACTTTATTTTCATTTTTTTAATATTTTTATATTCTCGTGTCAAAATGCATCTAATAGTATCAACCAATTTATTAAGATGGTTGGTCGTGTCAGTTTAAGAAGACGTGTAAAATTATTAATTGAGCGTGTGTTTTTTTTTGTTGTTAAAATATAAAATAATGTGCGAATTTATTTTTGATTTGTAGATGGTGCTTGTGGGTATAAAAACCTATTCGATCAAGGTTACGGTCTAGAGACAGCAGCATTAAGCACAGCGTTATTCAACAATGGATCAGCGTGTGGATCATGTTACGAGATACAATGCATTAACTCGAAAAATTGTTTACCCGATGCTAAAACTATTAAGATCACGGCCACCAATTTTTGCCCTCCTAATTACACAAAAACAGTCGATATTTGGTGTAACCCTCCACAAAAACACTTTGATTTATCGGAAAAAATGTTTGTAACAATTGCAAAATATGAAGCCGGGGTTGTTCCAGTTCAATTTCGTCGAGTTCCTTGTGTTAAGAAAGGTGGCGTTAAGTTCCTACTACAAGGGAACCAAGGTTGGTTACTTGTACTAGTGTTTAATGTTGGAGGTGCAGGAGATGTTGCTAACGTTAAGATTAAGCCCTCTAATTCGAATGATTGGTTGCAAATGGAACGTAATTGGGGGCAAATTTGGCAAATTACTCAAAATTTATTAGGGCAAGGTTTCTCATTCCAAGTTACTACTAGTGATGGTAAAATGGTGCAATCTGATAATGTTGTGCCTACTAATTGGCAATTTGGGCAAACTTTTGAGGGAAAAAGTAATTTCTGATTAATAATTGTTTTGTTCCTTAATTATTTTGTTTTAGGGTTATAAGTGAATTAAAGGCCACATATGGTTGTAGAAGGGATTGGGTATTCTTATGTCAATGACCAACATACTATTGAATAAAAATATTTGAGATTTCTAGGTAAAACTGGTATCAGAATTCGAGTTTTTAATTTATTTGTATTGTCATTATTGTCTTTTTAAATTTGCTCCCAAAATTAGTTTGAAATAAATAACTCTAATAAATTTTTCTTCAAAATAAAATAAAAAAGAATGTTCATTATGAAAATTAAACATACATCTATGTGTAACCGTTTATGTTGGCAAAAATATTACAAGTAGTTTTTTTTATTATTCATTCAAATAATATTCCGTAAAATTAATTTTAATTTAACAAAAATAAACTTTTGTTAATAAAATGTTTAATTTATAAAAACCGGTATGGTAACTTGAATAATATAATGGAAACTTAGTGAAAATAAGTTTTAACTAGTAAAAACTAGGTTAGTTCCCGTGCTATGCACAATAATTTTTAAAAACCATCATTATTAAGGGTCTGTTCACATTTATTGATTGAAGCTGAGCTGAACTGAACTGATTGGAGCTGAATGGACTGAGCTGAAATAAATATTTTATGAGAGAAGGAAATTAGGAGCTGAACTGAACTGATTAGAGCTAAACTGAACTGAACTGAATTGATTGAAGCTAAACTGAAATTAAGCTGAAGTAAACAGACCCTAAATTATCATTGTATAATTTATAATTTGTTTTGATCAAAAAATATAAATGACAAATTTTGATCAAACTAAAAGATTACGAAATACTTCGTATATGTTAGATATAAAATAGTGTGTTATTTAAATACCATAATTGTGAAATAATATTTAAAGATTGAAATGTATGAGAAATACGAAGTAAGTCGTATTGGTTGTGGGAGATTTATAATGAATAGCGACGTGTGTGTTTTTTTTTAAAAAAAAATAAATAAAAAAATTAGGCTCCTCTATTTTAGTACTCCGTATATGTATAGTAGATTGTTGACTATTATTATTATAACAACCATTAATTATCGAAGGGGAAATAAAAATATATGTTGTTAAATTTATTTTTTTTATTGGGAAATATGTTGTTGATTTTTTATTAGCATTGATTTGTTTTTTTTTTTTTTCACAACAACAATTGGGAGAGGATTGGAACTTAATCACCCAGAATTGATCATCGAATTCGGATTAGCCCAAAAGGTGAATCGGATGGAAATATGGAATGTATAAGATTTTTTTATAACTATAAATATTTGTGTTAAAGATATGTCATTTTTTTTCTTAAGTAATTATATTGTATAAGATTGTGAAATTGTTTTGTATAAGATTTATTTCCTTAATAACATTTTTTAAAAAATCAAATTTTTTTATTGATTGATAATTATAAATAATATAATTTTTGTAAAATTATTTTCAATTCACTTAAAGTAATTTTAGGGTTGGTTCTATTTACTAGATAAAAAGAGTTAAGCACACAATTAGGTACTCAATTGTTAAAAATTTCACCTTTTAGGTACTCAATTATTTTTACTTTGCTTTTGGGTACTGAGTTAAGAATTCAGGCCAAAAAAATTAAATCAGCCAAAGAATTCAGTACCTTGGGTTAAAGAATTTAGTACCCTTGGTTAAGTATGTGGGCCCCACCCGATTAAAAAATTAATATTTATATAAAAAAATTGTATTAAATTTGACTAAGAAACTAGCCGTTGGTTTCTCTATTTAAAGAGGCATGAACCTGGCAAAAAATTCATCAAAAACAGCAAGAAAATTCATCAATAATAATTCATCAAAATTCATTCATCAAAAACAGCAAGAAAATTCATCAAAATTCATCAAAAATAACAGCTTAACCAGCAACAAAACAGGTTCATTGACCATGTTATTTAGGCATAAATTCTGCAAGGTTTTGCCAGATTTTGTAGAAAAAAAAAATATAAAAAAAAAAAAAACCAGAAACAGAAGGGTTGTTGCTTCCCCCTACTGCTGGTACTTCAACTCTGCCACAAAATCAGCCATTGTTGCTTCTTCTGTCCAGCCACAAAATCAACCATTGTTGCTTAACAAATTCATCCAAAACCATTTGTCAAAAAAAAAAAAAAAAATCGAAAACCCAAATTTAACACAAAAACCACAACCAATCGACATCATCAATTTGTTCAAAAAAAACCCCAAAATTCGAAAACCCTAGGTCGCAACAAACATCAACAAATGGGCAAAAAATCCAAAATTTATATCAAATTAACAACATAAACGATGAGAAATTGAGGTTACCTCAAAAAAATGGCGGCTTTTGGTGTCGTTTTCCCCATATTCGAGCACAAAGGTTGCTCGTTGTTTTTCGACGTTCGCAGCAAAGTTTCCAGAAATGGGAAAGAATAAAGGAGCAATAAGGGGAATAAAGAAAAAGAAAGGGAAAAAAAAGGGTTGATCCGCGAATTTTTTAATCGGGTGGGGCCCACATACTTAACCAAGGGTACTAAATTCTTTAACCCAAGGTACTGAATTCTTTGGCTGATTTAATTTTTTTGGCCTCATTTCTTAACTCAGTACCCAAAAGCAAAGTAAAAATAATTGAATACCTAAAAGGTGAAATTTTTAACAATTGAGTACCTAATTGTGTGCTTCAATTGAGTAGTCCAAAAAAAAAAAAAAAAAAAAAAAAAAAAAAAAAAAAAAAAAAAACTACAACAATGTAACATTTTAATGGTTTCTTCAAAAAAAAAAAAAATTAAAAAAAAAAAATTACGAAGTAACGTTTTAATGGTTGGACCTAGTCTTACTAATTACCATTTCAACTGCTAATTTTTAGGGAAATAAATCATTCTTATTTCTTAATAACCCAACAGCAAATTCTATAGTACCATTTGGAAAGCTTTGATGATTTTCCACTAGTCAGAAGATCCCTTTAAATCGGCTTACATATAATAATAAGAGTATAACTGTATAAGACCATCACTAAGATAAATACAATGGTTTAAAAAAAAAAAAAAAAAAAAAAAGAAAGATAAATACAACATTATGTACTTTCTAAATACTAGGGATAATTACAAGAGAATATTTATCTAAGTATGACAATTTTACAAAACAAAAAAAAGATACGAAGAAATAACAATATTATTAACTAAGTAAATTAAACTAATTAAATTACTTAGACTTATCTCTAACAACAACAAATTACTATTTTATCGTGATTAGCTGAAGTTTTCAATCGTGCAAATATTTCATTCTATCTTAACATTGTCAAAAACTCTCTATAAATACCCTTTAAAACTCTCACTCTTAAACCACAACAAATAACCAACAATTTACTTGGCATACTTTAGTTTTCTCTCTTCATTTCCAAACCGACTTAAAAAGTCATCGAAAATGAAGTTTGTTTTTGCTATTCTAGCCTTGTTTTTGGCCATTACAATGGCACAAACACAAGTCCAAGGCTATGAACTCAACAATGATAATGATAATGATATTTATATCGATAATGCTGCTTATACTGATTTGTTCGATACAAACACTCTATCTCATCAACAAGGCCATGACCATAACAATAAGTGTCTTAAGGCTTTCCACAACCCTCACTTGAAAGCTTGCTCAAAAGATCTTCGAAGTTTCTACAAGACACACCAAATTTCCATTAGTCCCGAATGTTGTTCTGCCCTAGAAAAGGTCGGGAAGCCTTGCCCTATCTTCAAGGCGCGCCACCCCTTTCTTTTTAAACTTGTTAAAAACCATTGTTCTAGTCCTCCTTCTCCTTCCCCTTCTAATTAAGTGGAAGGGTAGCTAGTTCGTTATTTATGTTTTTAGATTTATTAAGGAATAGACATAATAGTAGGAAAATATAGCATATCTTATGTTATCCTAATAAAGTATTGATAGGTGGTTTTTTTAAGCCAATTTTAGGGATTTGTTTAATTTTCAACCAAGCTAGGCATAGTTTGATTTATCTTATCATTTTTATCAATGTGAAAAATAAGTTGATCATAGTGCAATGAATTTTTTTTTAATTTTATTTCAATGATGATTAGTTATTTTGATTGCGTATCTGTGATGCTTACATATCATTTTCTAAAGTTTGTTAGTACTTGAATTAATTATGCCTAACAGCAAGTCATGGCAAATGAATGCCTTTGTTAGTAATTTATAACGTATAACTTAAACCGTAAAATAGGAAATTCTCTTTTTGTTTTTTTTTTTTGACGGCCGGTAAAATAATGCTAATTAAATTACTAACGCACTTTAAACACTTCCATGGTAAATACTCCATGTATCCGTTTCACATTATTAGTCCCCTTTAAAATCAATCATTTAATATAAGAAATTAAAAGAAGAAAATTTGGAATTTGATTGCTTCGTAATTAATGTTTAAATCGTGAAATACGAAATGGAGTACCTTTTTTTTTACGGAAAAATATGAATACTAATTAAATTACTAATACACTTTAAACACTTCCATAGTAGAAACTCCGTCGAGGAGGAAATTTGGAATTTGATTGCATCTTTGTAATTAATATTTTGTGTTAAACACTTCCATAGTAGATAATGTACTAGATAGTACCATATATATGATAATAATTATAATAACTTCATGTGGTTTCCAACAATGACATGTCATGGATTTCAAAATAGTGTAGATATTTCTACAAGCACATATATTAAATCAAGGTAATAAAAACAAATTTGTAAAATTAAGATATAAAAATTAGAATACGAAGTAATTAATTATTTTCAAGTTTTGAAGTTATAAATTCTTTAATCCAACATGTCTAAAGATCAATTAAGTGAGTAAAATTAAGAGAATAAAATCACTCTTGTAGAATATTCATGTGGCAAACAATCGAAAATAATCTAATTGCTTCCATTTAACAATGCTTTAGGTGTTTCTCTTATCAAAATAATCGATTAAGTATATTAGATTAAACTTGTGATCATTACTATATGTTGAATGAACATCCAATGTCATTCTTCTCCAAATTAACATGCACTTTTAATTTAATTTGTTGTCGATGTAGCTCATAATGTCACAAATGTGTGGAAATAAAGAAATTTTTTGTATTTATTTCAACCATATATAACTAGAATATAATCCATAATTATAGGTTTAATTGTAGTAGGAGTAGTAGTAGGATGGAGGAGATTTTTTTTATTTCCTTTTTGACAAACTTTTAAAAAAATCAGGTGTACAATAAAATATTGTACATCCGTTATAAAGTTACCCTAACATGAGCAAAAGTTGCCTCTGAAATGAAGAAAAGTTACCCCAATATGAAACCCAATACATATAAAAAATTTCTACGCTTTATTAGTAAAGAATTGCATTTTGAATGACTAAAAATCAATTATTAGTGATTGAATATAATTAAATTGTCTTTTATAATTTTTTTCTTGTCGCCTATTTATATAAAAATTGTATTATGCTTAAAGTTACCCAAAAAAAGCAAAAAGTTACCCTAAAATTAGCTAAAAGTTACCCTATACTGCTCGATATACACTAATATTAGTGTAAACCAGGTGCAAACAAAAGTTTTTCTTCTTATTTTTTTTTTCTTTTTTTGTGGTTGATAAGAGCCATCTATAAATTAAATGTGTAAGAATGTAATGTTACATCTCCTAGTCTTACTACTTACCCTTTCAAAGACAATTTTTATAGGAAATCATGTAGTAATAAGCACAACTAATTACACAAATTTATCGTGGTTCGTGAATTGAAAATTTCAATCTTGTAACTAAATTTTTTTTTACTTAATACTCTCATAACTAAGAACTCTATAAATACCCTCCAAACTCCCATTATTCTTAATCCACATCAAATTAAACCTAGCTACTATATATCCTCTCTTCTACCACCTTCATTTTCAAAACCCACATTTAAAAAAACTCATCAAAAATGAAGTTAATTTTTGCTATTCTAGCCTTCTTGCTTTTGGCCATTACAACAATGGCACAAACACAAGTTCAAGGTTATGAACTCAACATTGATAACGATGATAAAAATGATATTTATATTGATAATGCTGCTTATACCGACGATTTTAATCCAAATACTGCATCCAACTCCGGCCATGGCCATAACAAGTGCCTTAAGGCATTCCATAACCCGAAATTAAAAGAGTGCTCAAGAGATCTTCGAAAGTTCTACAAAACACACCAGATTTCCATAAGTCTTGATTGTTGTTCAGCCCTAAAAAAGGTTGGGAAGGCTTGTCCTATTTTTAAGGCTCGCCACCCCTTTCTTTTTAAACTTGTTAAAAACCATTGTACTAGCCCACCTTCCCCTTCTCCTATGTGAGAAATTTGCTTGTGTTCTTTATTTATGTTTCGTAAGAGAATTTAAGGAATAGGCGTAATCGTATGAATAGACAAATAGATTGGCAGTTTTTTGTTAGCTAGTTCTAGGAATTTTTTTTCAAGTTTATTTATTTGAATAAATCAGGAAATTCATAATGCAACAATTGATTTATTTAATGAATTTAAGTTGTTTCATGTATTCTTAGCTTTAGAGTTCTTACATATTATTTGAATTTGTGTCCTTTTTGTTAAGCCAGCTATAATATCATTTTAAAGAACTAAGGCGCCCCTTTTACAACTTAAATTAATTGAGTAGCATTTTGAGAATATATTTCGAGGAGAAACTAATAACATCACTCATGACTATATTATTCTAACGTGTAATAAAAAAAAAGTGTAAATAGTGAAAAATTCAAAAATTATGCGATTAAAAAAATGAAGTGCATGCAGGTGTTAAAAAAATTTAGTGTCATGAAGGAAATTTAGTTAATTTGTACCCTACAACATTGACCATCGAAAATTGACAATATATAGAAAAAATAAGTTCAAATCAAATTAGATTGGAAAAAATAAATTCTGGTATCGTTTTATGTATGATTTTTTGTCGCTAAATATCTATAATTTTGAAATAAAATGTATAATGAAAATTAAATATCAATGAAATGCACATTATTACGAATCTAACAAGACCATAATTAATTTTGACCTTCAAAAAAATCCATCTAATGAGCTTATTGACCCCGATCTTAGCTCGAAATGGGGTAAAGGCAAAGTTTATAAGAAAAAAATGCGAGGAGTGTACACGAGAGGAGATTTTCAGTTAACAGCTCAGGTTTGACTTTGTTTTTTTTTTTTTTTTTTTTTTTTTCATGTTCTCTCGATAAATAAGCCAAATCTGAACTATTATTGAAATTCGTCAAAATAAACGAGATCGAACATGTACATGAAAATAAGTATACTTGCTCATCTATAAATACAAAAACAACCCTTATATACCTACGAAATGTTCAAAAGAAAATGTTCAAAATTACTTATTTGAAACCATCCTCACTTTAAATCAGTTGGTCTAAATAAAATGCTAGACTTTATATAGTCGGGATTCAATTATTATGCTTGATGTTGAGATTTTCAAATGCCAAAAGCACATATCTCAGTTACAAGAAAAACTCATTTATAAACTTGACTCAGCATATAAACAAAATATCCATAAACCACTTACAAACAATATGCTCTCCAATCTCACCCGATTTTCATGCTTAATCCTTAATTGATAGCTCGAATTCAATCTTTCCTAAGTCAAATAAACATAAACCCAATCCCTAGCTCAACCTTTAATCCCGCGATTCTCATTTACACATACCAAACATTCGAACGAGTATTGATGTTCAACACAATACGACTACGACAATTGGGTGAAGTGTCCATATATCCGAGCGTACCAAACACCCCGTTTTGGAAGAGAAAACCGCGTAGTAAAAAAAAAAAGGGTGTTGTTATTTGTCGCTCCCATTTTACCGGGTAACGCTCCCTTTTTTTCTTGAAATTCCAATTTTACCCCTAATATATAAATACGGTTTTTTCCTTCCTGACCAACATTTCTCACTTCTTTACTTCTCTCTCTAACTCTCAAACTCTCTTACTCTCTAACTCTCTAAAACAATTTTTTTTTAAAAAAAAAAAATTCCAAAATTGTTCTTCATTTTTTAAAAAAACAACAATCATCATAAACACAAAAGAAAATGGGTGATTCGAGGCGGATTAGGCTGAGATTCGGAGGGAGGACCTTCGGCGGCGCTGGTGGTGGTGGCGGTGGCGGCGGCGGCGATGGTGGAGACGAGGTATTTTTTTTTTTTTTTTAATTTCGGATCCCAGGAAGTTCCGCCCAAAATTTTCGGAAGTTCCATGGAGGATCTGTCTGGAATTTCCGGATTCTCCCTGGAACATCCGGAAATTTTGGGCGGAAGTTCCAATTTTTTTTTTTTTTTTTTTTTTTTTTGGCCCGTAAATAAAATTGTTAATTTTATTTTTTTTCGGATTTTGTTTTTTTTTTTTGTTATTTTGAAGTGTTATGGTGATTATTGTTGATATTATTATTATTGTTGTTGTTATTATTGTGCTTATTATATTTTGTAATGTAATTATTTTAAAAAATATGATAATTTTTATTATTTTGTTGATATTAGGTTTTTATTATTAATGTTAAGGTTATTGTTGTTGTTGTTAATTTGTTTTTTTTTTTTTGGATTTTGATATTTTTGTTGTTATTTTGAAGTGTTATGGTTAGTATTATTATTATTATTGTTATTATTATTGTTGATATTATTATTATTATTATTATTATTATTATTATTATTATTATTGTTATTATTATTATTATTAGTTATTATTATTATTTTAAAAAATATGATAATTTTTGTTAGTTATTGTTGTTAGTTATTGTTGTTTATATTTGTATTTGTTGTTGTTGTTGTTGTTGTTATTATTATTTTTGTTATTGTTATTATGGTTATTGTTATTGTTATTACTAAAATCGGATTATTTTTTAATTTTATGTAGATCAAGGGTTCTGGTGCTCGACATGCAATATCACGACGTCTGAATGCGTCTGTTAGGAGACAGACATCTCGATCTTCACCGGTTCAGCCCGAGCAGCAGCAATACGGGTCTACTAGTGGTTGGTCGAGAGACCAACAGTCTGGTAGTAGTCGGCCCTTGTACTCTGCAAGTGGAGCACCCATATCTGACGAGGAAGACGAATGTTCGGCTTGTCATGCTGGTGACCGGGATGAAGAACGGGACCCTCAGGATTTCCATATGGTATATAGGGGTCAGTTTGGGAGATTTGTTGGTAGTGGGTCGAGTCAGCCTACTTCCAGCTCTGCAGAGGCATGGTTAGTGCAGGAACCAACCGGCGATCGGCGGGAGTGGTGAATCAGGTACAAGGTCAAGACGGATAAAATGTGATCCACCAATTGTAGCAATCACAAACAATCGAGTCGGTGACCGAACCCCGTTGCGTGCCCTAAGCGGTAAGACTGTGATGCATGGGTAGTAGCAAGTACCAACTAGGCCTACTCCGAGACAAATCACCCTTGCGTTGAACTACGTAGCAATAGGAAATAAATCTTGAATTGTAACCATCCAATGCCGCTCCCCGACAGCCCCACCATCCCATCGAATACGCTCCACGTTCATCCAAAGTCGCCCAAGCCCGTAAATCCGTTCGTACAAATCAGGATGACCAGCGACCTCGTTCGCTATTGTTTCCCGAGCGTCAAACCACTTATTTTGATCGCCAAAGAAGAAGTCGGCGACACAACGAAAGCCACAGTTCCCATCACCAATGACATCCTTCCAAGACGAAATGTACGACAACATTGGGGCTGGAAGCAAGTTCAAATACCTGCATTGACTAATGTCACTTGGATCTACAACACAAAATTAAAAGATAAATTATTAGTAAAGCTATAAGTATTAAGTTTACATATTTTTATATTAAATATAGAATTTTAGTATTACCTGGTTCTGGGTCACCACCACGTTGAGTGTGTTGACGGTTCACATGCTCGAAATAGCTACGATCACACCTGGTGTTATTTCTTTTCGGTCGACCACGAGTGTTAAGGTTGATATGTGGTTATTCAAGGTGTGAATGATCTGGATGTAGCTCCTCTTCAATGATTCGCGTTACATTTCGACGTACGGCCGGGTCACTTTCCATGACTTCGTCGATTAGGGACCGAAAATGTGCAGCCTCCTCGGTCGAATCATTTACCACTTCAGGAACGTTAACACCATCACCAATAACCAATATCTTCCAGAAAGAATGAATTTGGATGCTATACAATCCTGTCTGTGCAACTATCGAATCATGAATCTGGCAAGCACATGGAAGACCATGGGTCAGACGCATAGCACATCCACACCGTTCATGGACCTGGTAACTCAAATCCCGCATCCTTTTCATCTCGTTATCCAGAACTTTCAAGCAATGTTGATACACTTTGCCATTTATACGTGACAGTGGCAACTGTCTGTACATCTGACCAATTTTAGACCTTGATGCCTCCAAGTCATTACGAATTTGTATGATGCGATTACCGATATGACAATGGACTCGGGCCCATACGGTATCCAAATCACCTGCCAATGATTCTAATTAGTAAATTCAAATACAATTACAATTAATACAATTACAATTACGTAACAACGAGAACAACTAATAAAATAATACAACTAACCTGTGGATGATTCTAACCAAGTTTTCACTGCTGAATGTTGGCTCTCAACTCTGCAGTTGGTGGTGTTACCAAAATGAAGAACCTGGTTCGTCCAAAATTTCACAAATTTCTCCTTATGACAAAGCCAAGTTCTCTGAACATACTGAATCACTTCCGGATATTTTCCCCACCTCACTTGCATGGCAGTTAGAGCACGATCATACTCCGCTTGTGTTGTTGCATTCACGATTTTGAACCATCTCCCAGCTCTAAAACTGACACCAACCGTCTTGTTTCCAAACATCTTCGTCACCTTAGCCTCTACATCTCTGTTGATGTGCCATAGACAGAGTAAATGTGACGTCCCTGGAAAGACTTCTCTCAAAGCCGCACATAGCCCAAGATCACGGTCTGAAATAAATACAGATGGCTCTTTATCAAACCCAATCAACTCCCTTAATCTCTGCAACACCCACCGATAGCTAGTCGTGCACTCGTCGCGCATGAAAACATATCCAACTAGAAAATTCTGGTTTGTCGGTGTCACGCCTACTATCTCAAAGAAAGGCATGTTATATCGATTGGTCTTGTAAGTAGAATCCATACCTATGACATGTGGGTATGTGCGGAGTATGTTAACCATGATCGGGTGCACCATAAATGCATGTTGCAAAACGTTGTGATCATCGTTCGTGAACCAGTAAATGTATTTACTCTCTCTCGCCAGATGAAGAAATTGCTGAACAACTCCTCTTCCTTCGGACATTTCCATCCTGAAGTCATTTCGGCAATTGTAAATGTGTCGGATGTTTGGATGATCATCAGGAAATTGCTCGGCAATAGTGGACATGATGTTACGGGGAGCAACCTTGGACTTTGTCATGTCCCGCACAACCTGTTTTGCACCCAGACTCAATCCGCTCACTTTACGGTGACCCTCTGGGTACACAATCATTGGGTGGTTATGTGTCCCGGTGTGATCATTTTTCGCAATGATTTTCCAACTTTCGGTGCAGACATCATAATATATCTTGATGTAGAATGGACAACCATTAGCTTTGGTTTTGGTGTCCTTCCGTATCGCGTTCTCCAAATCTCTCGGCTTGCTCCTTCGTGACCGATCACATCGCAAATACCGATACGGCCGACCATCTCTGGTTTTGTTATAAGACGATTTCACCAATATAAATCCCAATTTTATGGAAACACCATCAGCCCATGTAACATCATCGTCAAATGTAGGAAAAAACGTATCGGTGACAAAATTCCCACTATAATTCACACCGTCACCGCCTTCCTCAGATTCCATATCCTATAAAAATTAAACAAAACATGCTTTATGTCAAAATAATAATAATAAAAACAAAAATAATAATAATAATTATAATTAAAATAATAAAAATAATAAAAACAATACTAATACTAATAATAATAATAATAATAATAATAATAATAATAATAATAATAACAATACTAATAACAATACTAATAATAATAACAACAAATACAAAACAATAACAATATTAATGATAATAAAAAATTATAACAACAACTACAAAACAATTTATAAGACCATAACATTAATTAATAAATAAATAATAATAATAATAACAATAATAATAATAATAATAATAATATTAATATTAATATTAATATTAAAATTATATTTCTACTAATTAATAATAACAATATCAACAACAACAATAAAAATAAAAATAACAGCAACAACAACAATAATATATCAACTACAACAACAACAATAATATCAACATATTACTAATAATAACAATAATAATAATAATAATAATAATAATATAAATAATAATAATAATAATAATAATAATGAAACAAAAAATAAACATATTACTAATAATCATATTAATACAACAAAATTACATTAATTATCAAATACTAAATCACAACAATAATCACAAGACCACGAAAAAAAAATACATAAAAAAAAACTTAATAAACATAAAAAAAAAATTAAATAAACGTACTTAACATTTTAAAAAAAAAATTAATAGGGACATCCGCCTAAAATTTCCGGATGTCCCTAGGTACATCCGCCTGAAATTTCCGGATGTACCATGGAACATCCGGATTTTTTAGGCGGATCTCATCTTCCGCTTGAAATTTCCGGATGTTCCATGGTACATCCGGAAATTTTAGGCGGATGTACCTAGGACATCCGGAAATTTTAGGCGGATGTCCTAATTACCGAAAAAAAAAAACTTACAGAATGATCCGACGCATTCTCCGGCGTACGTATGTTCCACTCGCCGTCCATGACCCAAGACCCGTCGGAAAATTTAACGACTTTTGAAAATAGAAAATTTAGGTGGTCGTGGGGACCGATTTGGTTGCAAGGTCGTGGGGACCGATTTTGGGAAGCTCGGGACAGCAATGTCGTGAAGTGAGGGGACCGTTTCATGTATTGTGTCCAAATGAGGAACAAGGTCATTTTTATAACCCAAATTGCATAAAGGGCATAGTGGTCCATTCAAGTCAAAAAGGGAGCGTTACCTGGTAATTTGGGAGCGACAAATAGCAGTTAAAAAAAAAAAACTACGGGAGTACCGACAAATCAAGTGGCCATTCCTGTGTGCCGCGCTTTCTTCTTCTTCTTCATCATCATCTTCTTCCTCCTTCGATCTCTGCAACTTCACTCACTCTTTTCTCTCTCCTCTAATATCACTTTCTCTCTCCTAAATCATGCGATGAAATTCGGAAGACATACCCAGAAACATTCATCATCATTGTCAATTAAGCTTGTGATTTTGGTATCATTTATTGCTTTGATTGGAGCTGGTGTTGTTGTAGATCTCTTATGGGCGTCGTCTTCTTCTTCTTCCTTCTCCGCTTTTCGATATGTCTCTGATAATTGGCCTTCTCAACAATCTCTTAATCTTAACCTAACTTCTCTTCCTAAGGTTTGATTCGATTTCCTTATTCTTTTAATTTTGCCCTATTTTTTGTTTATTGTTGAAATTAAGCTGTTTATGCTCTCAATTTGATTAGTTAATTTATGCTCGTATTTGTCGTAATAATGTATGATTACAATTTAATTGCCCTAGTTAATTCGATTAGTTAAATATAATATTGAATCCTAAAACTTAATTTTAGTTTTATGTAAATAATTTTTGGGAGAAATGATGTTGAATTTGTTGATTATAACTCTTAAATTTTGAATAATTTTTATGGCGGGGCGTTTGATAATCATGGTTTATGTTGCTAATGTATGCACGATTAGGGAAAAATTCGATTGATTTGGTATAAGTTGGTAATGTTGCTATTAAAATTAGGGTACATTGCTCAAACATTGTCAATTAGCTCAATTATCTTGTTCAAGTTTAATTGATCTAGGTGTGCATTACCGATTTTCTTACAATAGGCAAAGAGTAAAGATAAAGGAAAGGATGGAGCTCCGGAAAGGATTTTGTCGGCTACTTTCGCAGACTTGCCGGGACCTGAACTACATTGGGAGAAGATGCCAACAGCTCCGGTGCCACGTCTAGATGGAGCTGCCATACAGATTAAGAATATCTTATACGTTTTCGCTGGATATGGAACCATTAATCTTGTGAGTATTTCTAGTTGTCTTGTATCCCATTAGTTGTGATGTTTGATCTATTTATCTTTGCTGCAATGCATGATTGGCTAATCTCGAACTTGTCTGCTTGATTTGAATGAGATTGTTTGGTATGTTGTGGTACCTTTCTCTTGCCATGGATATGTTATAGTGTTAAGTTTATCACTCTACAAATTCTTTTGAATTATGCATTTTGACAAGGAAACATAAGCTAAAAAATATTACTGCTTTACAAGTGTTGTTATTTGAATAGTACCGAATATTAATCTTGATTCACAAATTTGTTTTTAGTAATTTGTCAAGATTGTGGATCATGACGTCACTCATCCTGTCTTGCCTATTTGCTTATGGTTTGCAGGTGCATTCCCATGTTGATGTCTACAATTTTACGGATAATACGTGGGGAGAAAGTTTTCCTATGCCTAAGGAGATGGCTCATTCTCACTTGGGAATGGTAACCGATGGAAGATATATATATGTTGTCACCGGACAATATGGTCCACAATGCAGAGGGCCAACAGCCCGAAATTTTGTGCTTGATACTGAAACGAGACAATGGAAAGATCTTCTTTCTTTGCCAGTCCCTAGGTAATTTTGTGATGTCTTTGTTTTCTGTGTCTGGTGCAGAGTAGTTTTATCCTGCAATTCTAAGAATTTGTAACTGTTCTATTCAGGTATGCACCAGCTACTCAACTTTGGAGAGGAAGACTGCATGTCATGGGAGGCAGTGGGGCTAATCGGTACACACCTGAACTAGACCACTGGAGTCTGGCAGTGAAGGATGGGAAGGCATTGGAGAAGGAGTGGCGATCAGAAGTACCTATTCCTCGTGGTGGACCTCACAGGTAATTTGATCATGTCCCTGTCGAAATCTCTCCTTTAACATAAGCAAGAAAACCATTGTATTTTCATTGAAAACTAGTAGCACAAACATCAGCTTGTCAGTCAATTATTGAAAACTGATTTGATAATGTTGGCATTATACTACGTAGATTTTATCCCATAGTTGTGTTATAATGTCAATGGATGTGGGATGTCTTCCCGTAATCTATAACTTTTTTATTCCCTAAATATTTATGATGTTCTTCCCTTTTTTACCAGGGCTTGTGTTGTGGTTGATGACAAACTAATGATTATTGGTGGTCAAGAGGGTGATTTCATGGCCAAACCTGGTTCACCAATTTTCAAGTGCTCCCGCAGACATGAGGTATTATGATTAACTTTTTCCAGAGCTTAATGGGTTTCTTGGTTGTTTAAAATAGTGTGAACCCTCTGTGATGTGATGTTTGGGGCACTAGGTGATCAAAATCTTGAAATATAGCTTGCTGTACAAGATTAAGGCCATATTATATCTGTGCACATGGCACTATGATTTCAATATCTGTTGTTTTGAGCTCTTGCATCTTGGATGATTGTGGAATTTTTTATTTTATTTTTATATTTGAGGTCTTAACTTTCTCAATGTAAGAACTGCAAGTTCTAATTGGTTTCTAAGTTTCTATTCTTAGTACTGTATTGCCTAATTATAAGGATAGGTGATTATCAGTTTGCACGGTGACTTCCCACTCAAGTGTTGGCACAAGGCAAAAATCTTTTAGTTGGCATTACAAGTTTTGTAAATTAGTTTACTGGTTTTTTTTGTTATTTAACTTTTGAAAATTAGATTTAATAGCTCACTTATTTAGGTTGCCATTGCTTGAAAGTTGAAACATTGTCCAATTTTATCAACCTATTGATTAATGAGAGTTCTGCAATATTCAAAATCCCACTGTTGGTTAATTTTTTCTACTACTGGATGAATAGTCCTAGGGTTGGTGATTTTTTTACCCGGGACTTCTAGCACAGAAGATCTTGATGCATATGCATGCTGGTGTTCAATCTTGGCCTCACAACTGAGGTCTGTTGAGAAGGACCCAGGCATGTAACCAGGAACTAGTCCAAATAAATGCATTTACAATTTGAACTATTACCAGTGTAGGATTAGGACTTTGACTTACCCATGAGTATGTGTCGTCAAGCAGGTTCAAGGCCTTGCCGTGTCTTCGTACCCGGGACAAGCTGCTTAGTGCTAAATGAAGTTTCTTTTTTGGCATTCTACCTAAGTACTTAGGAGTTTTTGTGCAAGTAATGTTATTTAGTGATGCTTGGTGTTTAAAATTGACAGACTTCTGAATGTGATTGATTCATGATGTCTTGATTGCTAGTGTACCATGCGTCTTGCTAAACCATGTACTGTTGCTCTGGTAAGTAGTTCTCGACGTGTTTATAGTCTGAAAAGATGGGCATTCTAGTCACACACTTTTTTTTTTTTTTTGGGTAAGGAGAAGGCCGATTCTAGAAGGGGGGGATGTAAGGGAAATCCCTTCTAGAATGGGCTTGGTGACATTTGACCCTTGGCCTCACGCCTGAAGTTGGAGAACTAGCCAGCTACTCTAGCTTCCTATCTCATTTTTTAATCAATGTGTAGGTGGTATATGCTGATGTTTATATGCTGGACGATGAGATGAAATGGAAGACGTTGCCTTCCATGCCAAAGCCAGATTCGCATATAGAGTTTGCATGGACTATAGTTAATCATTCAATTATAATTGCGGGAGGCACAACCGACAAGCATCCTAACACGAAAAAGATGATCTTGAATGGAGAGATCTTCCGGTTTGATCTAGACACACTGGTAAATGCTCATTATTACTGATTCTTAGGCTGAGTAGGAATTTCTTGCTATTCTACACATTATCCTGAAGTTTCATTCTTGAACTTTTAATTTTACCGCGGGATACTTGGCTACTTGCATTTGCTCATTTTCTAACTTGTTTCATAAATTTGAATATTACAGAAATGGTCAGTGATTGGGAAGCTTCCCTACCGTGTCAAAACAACTCTCGTTGGATTTTGGAATGGTTGGTTCTATTTTACTTCTGGTCAGCGAGACAAAGGGCCTGATGATCCAGGCCCCAGAAAGGTCATTGGGGAAGTTTGGAGAACTAAATTAAGCTTCTAGTCTCTAGTCAATTATTTCTGGATGTTAAATTTTAGGTAGGTCATATTCATCACGATTTAACCACTGTTAGATGTCCTAGTCTGAAGCTGTGGAGCAAATATATGTTCATTTTCCGCTGTTGTCAAAATGGAAAGGCGGGAGGATGAGAAAATTCAATTTGTTCATATTGATTCATGTATATCTTGTAAACCATATGAGAATCAATCAGAGATGGCTAGCCCTTTATGTTCAAGGGCATTTTGTATTCATCTTTAAATTACAAGTTTTCATACATCCCTTTTTCTTGCAGGTGATCTTATTTTTCTTGTGCACATCTTGTATTCCTTGTTGGAACAGTTAGTTGATAAACCTGTAAAATTATTTTTCTTTGTGCATATTGGTGCTCGATCTAGTAATTTGTACAAAAATTTTTAATTTTAAGCCATGCAAAATGATAGATCACTTACAAATTTATTCACAATCTATTTATAAAAATAGCTACAAAGCAATATACTGTACAAGATTGTGCCTAGTAAACTTGACATGAGTTGCATAAAGCCATAGCTCATAAAATAACAGCATCAAATTCCTGAACATAAACTATAACCCATCTTCAACTGCGTCATTACCATACTAAATTACGAATGTTATCCAACCATTTTACACGCAAAACTGAAACCATCCCAAGATGTACAACTTAAAAAGAGTTTCCTGTACCAAAATCTACCTACAACATCCAAAATTGCTCGTATATCTACACGCCTCTCTCTGAACAACATACCACATAGAGAGAGATTGATTCTAGTTGTTAAGAGTTAGCTAAAGGTCAACCAGTCAAGCAAAGTTCCACAGCCAAGACGTCACCATCAAATCTAAGACCAGATGGTTCAGCTGGTTGAAGTAATCCATTGACCATTCCACCAAAGACATACAGCAGACGGCCTGAATGGTCGGAGCATGCTGCGTGAAAAGAGCGAGCCCTGGGTTTATATCCACGGGATTTTAGTCTTTTCCACATTCTTGATGAGAAAGGGTTCTTTATTATGGTGTTCACATCTAACAACCAAAAGTCATTTTTTCTGTGCCTTTGGGAGTTTTCACCTCCATAGATAAGAAGTTTACCTCCTATGACGAGGGTTGCTGAATGACCAACTCTTGGAAGGTTAATTCCCCAAGGAGTGTTTGATAAGTCAAATCTAACCAGTACCCACTTTGGATGATCCTCTGAGGCATCGAAAATCCAGGCATCATTAAGGACATCATAACCCAATCCCCTTCCCCCAAAAAGTAGTGTTCGTGTATCATCAATACAAGTCACAGTATGTCCCGAACGTGGTGGTGGTTTTGGGTGGGTAACAACTTCATGCCAAGTTCCATGACCGAAGTTATCTGACATTTCCAAGATCCACAAGTCTCCTAATCTAACACCATCTGGACCAATCCCTCCATGAATAAGCATTCTCTTGTTCTCCATGCAGCATCCAGCGTGGGCTCCACGTGGTGGTGGTAGTGGTACTGCTGAGCCAACATCAAGCAGCCTCCAACACAAGTTAATACCATATGTCTCATTATGAACAATATTTCCAACCCAGGTATCGTTTTGACGGATACCATGATCATTGATGCCTCCGAATAGTATGAGAAAATCACCACTTACGACACAAGTATGCCCAAAACGTCCACTAGGAATTCCTGAGGTCACTTTCTGCCATTTTGATATGGTTTTTAAATCGTAACCAAGATACGCAACCCAAGTATCATCAAGATGACGACCTGAATGTAAAAGAAGCAGACCAATGAGTAATTCTTTAAGAAACCTATTTCATCACTGTGAACAGAGCTTTAAAGATGCTACGTTGCAAATTATCATTTAACGATTTCTGATTCTGAAAAAAAAAGTATTGTAATGTTATTCCTGCATGTTACTGAAGAGAGAAAGAAGTAGATCAGTGGGGGATATTTTAGTTAAGCCAAGAAGTAACAGGCTCTTTCACGAAATTTCTAGTTTTCTACAATGATTTCCACACCTTAAACATGTTACGATAAGACTAATCAGCAGGAATAAATTAGTGGAAATTCAAAACAGCCTTTAGCTATTAGCACCAATAATCTGAGATACTGATTTGTAGCCACAGGAGATTCACAATGAAGATACACAGAAGACGTTATTTAACAAGAACCAATACGTTTACTCTTCAACTCAAACAAAATTAAAACAGGCTCAATGATTACAGTGGCACTTCATCACCATTTTGATGTCAAAATGCAAAAGGGGAAAAGAAAAGAAAAAATACACATCAAGGCAAAAGAATAGAGCAAATTTATGCTGCATAACATTGGTGAGAGAGTATCTGACACTAGTACTTCTGTGCTTGTCCTAGTGTTAATGTTCATACTTGACCATATTTCCAAATTCTGCAGGCTTCCGGCCTCATTTAAAGAGTTCAAGTTTCAAACCTAGCTTTTATTTATCGAAGGGATGTGCTAAAAACTTCAACATTATCCCACAAAACCAAAACAATAAGCAGAACTAACTTTCAGATTTGGATTCTTTTGCCATATTTACAGAATATGGGGTAAACATTAAGATGTCAAATACATCAAGGCACAAAATTTCGAACACAGCAGTAGTATCTCTCAAATTACACATTTGAGGGACATGACACTCATTAAATCATACCTATGATCTTAGTAGACTCATTTGCATCTGCTTTTTACAGTACATATACATCATACATGAACTAATGATGTACACACAATTTAGGTTGACTTATTTGTTTGGGATACAATCAAAGTGTCAAGCAAGGATTCCATACCCATTTCGAAGTGTCAAGTGTCCAACACGGGTACAAACGATTATATGGTGTACTAACACAGTCTATAGCATAGTTCTATCACTGTTCCAATTTTCCAATAAGTTCAACTTCAACACCCTTTTAAGTTCACCGAACAAAACTCTCAACTAAACAATGCAAGAAAACAGATACTAGACACATTACTCAAACATTACCTAATGCCATTATCCACCCAAAACCCTAACTAAGAAATGTCAACTATTATTGAAACATCATATGGAGAATTGGGAATCCATCAGAAAAAAACATGATCACAAACAATAATGAAATATAATTTAATCAAGAAAAATAAAAAATTGATAGAAAACAACAAAATTGAAGAAAATAATGAAATGGGTATCAGAAAAAACTAACCTCCTTCACATCCACCACCAAATAAAACCAAACAATTTGAGACAAAATTGAGAGAATGAGAAGCTCTAGGGCAAGGACTCAAACTATGAGTAACTGGGTCACTCAATTTTAAGCAAGAAACAGACCCCAATTGAGCTACTTGCTTGTACAACTTCATCCATGGCATAAAATTAATTTCACCATTATTATTATTATTATTATTATTATTATTATTATTATTATTATTACTATTAGCAAAATATGAAGAAGATTTAAGGGCATCAACACAGGAGGAACCCCACTCTCTTCTACAAATAGACTCCCACAAACTATCAGATGAAGCTAAAGATTTGAACTTTTTGCAAGTTTGAGCAAAAGAAAGGATTGAATTGATGGGTAAAAGGAGAAGAATTGAGAAAAGATGATCTTGAACTAAGTTACAAATTGGGGTTTTTTCATTATTGCTAGATTCATCCATGAATGAAAAAGGAGGAAAAAGGCAAAATAATGATTTTGTTGTTGTTGTTGTGAATAATTGAGTAGGGGTATTTTCTCTCTCCTAAAAAATGAGAAAATTTTGTTGGTTTCAGAGTAGGAGATGGAGCCATCAGTGCTCATTTTCTGGGTTGATTTGCTCATCAGTTCTTTGGCGTCTTCCACGCCTTTGCCACGGACCGCATTTTGTACCAATTCTACACTTTATTTTTTGTAGTTGTATCATTGTATATTTGTATGTATAGATTATACAGAATTACAGATTACTTTATTGTGTTAAATTAATCAATCATGCATAAATTCTCCCATAAACCATCATGTCATATTCTTAACTTTTGGAATTTGTAATACCAAAAGTATGAGAATCTAATCTACCAATCACCAATTGTTTTAATTACTTAAAAATAGAGTAATTACGGGTCAATTTAATTCAAATTTCGAGTAAAACAATGAATTTGCTCCTCGTAGTTAGAAATTCAGAGGGGGCAAATTACTAGAACAAAATTTTGCTTATGGAGTACTTTTTTCACAATATGACGAGCCACAAACGACAATTATATAGATATAATTTCATTTTATTTCTGTTCTCTTACGTTGACATTCAGTTCACTTCCTAATTTCATTCTCTTATAAAATATTCAGTTCAGTTCAGTTCAGCTGAGTTCGGTAAATGAGAATAAGCCCTTAGGCTCGTAGCACATAATTTACTACTTGTATATTGTTATTTTATACTCTGTATAAAGGTTAATGAACTAACTAGCATGTTTAATAGCGAAAGGGTGTATTTAATAAAATTATTTAGTTTTAATCGTCTCAAATATAACAATCTTGGTGACATTTTTTTATTCTTGAGGCAAATTGAAAGGGTTCAGCATTGAAAACAATATCAATTTCCCTAACCATTTTTTTTTTTAATTAATTATAGGATACATACCTAATATATTCTCACATGCCTATTAAAAAATAAATGAATGTTTATTTTGTTTCAAGGAAAATTATCCTCACAAAATTCCCACTTAACAATCTAAATCAAATTTACTAGCCGTTAGTTATAATTATATGTGAGTATACATCTATTGTTAGTAGGAGAATATATTTTCTTCAAATTATCCTATATACTACTAATTCAACCTAAAAAATTTCCTATTTACCTCAAGTAAATTTCAAAATTTACTAGCCGTTATATACATTTCCAATATTAGAGCAACTTAGTAGCTAATTAGCTCCACAAAAATCAGTGACTAATATAGGACTAATACACTTCTCATATGTATATAAAAAAATATTATGATCGTTATAATATCTTACAAGATTAACTATATCTTATTACAGATTTTAATAAGAGGGAAAATAAAATAAAAATCAAAGATTTAGTTAAAAAAAAAATGTCAAATTCAAGAAGATGTGCAGCTTGCAAATATTTAAGAAGAAGATGTCCTAAAGATTGCATTTTTGGACCCTACTTTCCTTCAACTAATCTCGAGAGATTTGCTTCTGTCCATAAAATCTTTGGAGCCAGCAATGTTGCCAAGATGTTAAAGGTACCTTTTATAATTTATTAGGGAGTAATATTTATACGAGCAATAAATATTTAGGAGTATTGATCTTACTATTTTTGTATTATAAATGGAGTACTACTTACTAAAATATTCATTAATATTCTCGTGTAGTTTGATTATGACTTCTTATTTATATTTGTCCTACTAAATTAGGTGGATTAGAAGTATCTTCTATTCATTGGAATTTAGAATTCAATGTTAAAGAAAAATCATTGCTTTCAAAAATGACATTTTGTGTCAAGTGTAAACTTAATATCGCTATATTCCAAAATGTGTAATGATGAAGAAAAGATTTGGTTTTTAAAATTAAGTAATTTGTATTTAAATAATAATACACTCAAATATGGTGGCTATGATTAATTTCTAGATGATTTATTTTAATTTTTTTTATAGAATTCCATGATTCTAATTTATGATAAATATATGACCATACTTAAATTTATGAATTAGAGCATGTTTAATTTATAAATTTGGAACTTATTTAAAATTATATCAATTTATTACATAAAGAAATTTAGTTGAACGCCTATTTTTTGTCTGAATATTATATAATAATTTTGTCTTTTTCACATAATTTCAAATATGATTTTTGGACAAAAAAAATGATAGTTTTGATGTTAATGCAGCAACTTCCAGAGGAAAGGAGGAGTGAAGCAGCAGAGAGCATGGTGCTTGAAGCAAGGTCACGGGTTCGAGACCCGGTGTATGGAAGTGTTGGTACAATAACTCAATTGAGGCAACAAATTATGGAAGCTGAATATGAGTTGGCCAAGACACAAGGTCTCATAGCCTTATTGAGCCATGCACAAAATTTGCATGAACAACAACAAAAATTTGAAGCAGAAAACAAACTTCCCTTAATTTCTCAAAATCAAGATAATTTGCATTTTGATCATTCATTGTTATTGAATGATTTGAATCAACAACAACAAAGTAAGAATTACATTAGTTGGGGATTTGAGTAATACTACTATTATTTAGCCCTTTATTCATTAAATATTTTGATATAAGAAGAATATGTACTCTTCTCATAAAATTCACATACAACATGTTAGTATCAATTTGTCATTTTCGTCAAAGTTACAACAAATCACAAAAAAGAAATAAACTTCATACTCTATAGAAGGGTGACACACAATCATAAAATTTTGGAACAGTCACATTTTAGGAATATCTTGACGATAAATTACTCAATACACCCGCCATCCTTATTATCGCTTTATTAAGAGTTGTATTGTTAAATTGAGAGGAGTCATGGAGAACAAACTAACTAAAAATGAAGATGAGACTATTTTATAGGAGGCCTAAAAAAGGTAAATTGAACAAGCTTTTAGACGGATGGAGTATTATTTTTTTTTTGAAAACAGGCGGATGGAGTATTAAGTAGATCGAGTACAGTAGTAATACTACCTCCGTTACATATTATTTACAACGATTTGACATAATATGTAACGGAGGTGGTATTTACTCATTCTAGTAAATGAATCAGTGAATTTGGTTCATAAAAGAAATTAAATCAGTAAATTTTGAAAAATTACAGAGCAAATAAAAAGGGGACCATATAGTATTGGTGTGAGTAACAATAGATTCTAGAGGAAACAGATGCTAAACATATCCTTGTCAAAACATCTCTTTCAGCAATTTGATTTGATGAGTGTTAATTGGTTCACGAATACAATCACTCACAACAAAGACATAAACTAATATGAATGAAGACAAGAAAACATCAATACCCATTGACAGTTACCTTTATAACTGACCAAACTTGTGGGAAAATTGTGCAATTGTACCACCTAATATTAATACAGATTGACAGAATTAGCAATTATAGGTTTGTATAGATGGATTAATTTGTTCTTTAGGTTGGTCCATACTCCACAGATAATTGTCATTAATGCTTGAGTTGGGCACGAGACTTTGCAGACCCACACACCCAAGGATGTGTGCCTCGTGCTCGACCACGCCTTGTCTGAAAGGATTTAGGAATAGTCGTAATATGCTGAGCATGTGCCGATCTCTCATAAAATAAGCTCATGTATAAACAGTGAAATCCTTTGATAGTATTAGTAATTTATTGTCAATTGATTAAAATTAAGCACGCTAGCATATCGTGCTCATACCAAAATTTTAAAATGATGTTCATCCATGGCATGTCAAGTGTGCAGTGGCTCCCATGTTGGGCTTGTGCCCTGCTAGTGGCCGATCCTCAAGCCATTTTTGTGTCATGCGACTTGACTGGTTTTTATGTCAATCCGACCCATGTCCAACTCTATTTCTCAAAATATTAAAGTTAAGGCCCATTTTTGCAAACCCTTTTTATGGCTCCCTCTAAATTATGATTTAAAATTGTTTAACCAACTCCTCATATTCTTGGATAAGTTGTCCTACCTAATGGTTAAATGAACTTTAATTATAATACTAATTTAGAATTCTAGTAGAATATGTTAAGCTTGCCGTGGTATCTTTATTTCTTGGTCTTTTTACGGCGAGCTTGAGCCGCTAGCCAATGAGCCGGCGAGACCCATGAACTAGGGACCTTCTTAATCCTACAAGCCGAAAGATCCCGAACCTCATCTCGGATAGCCCCTAATAACCAAATACAGGAGATATCATCCGCGGATACTCGAGTAAAAAGGGAAACCACCTGAGCGCAATCCGTAAATATCTGTAAACGAACAATCCGCCGATTAATAAGGCCTTGTACTCGTACCTTGTGTAAAGTAACAAGTACATGGAGAACATTTGTGTAAGGCCTTGTACTCGTACCTTACACATCTACTTCTTTGAAGATTAATAAGTACGGAGTAAAATTTAACTAGTTTAAAGAACAAATATAACCATAAATTCATAAAAATAAGCTTTTTAAATCAATTATAGTTATAGAATAAATTTCCAATAAGTGAACATCAATTTCAATTCAGAATTTTGAAAAAAAAATGTTTTTTTTTTCCAAATTACACTTTGTTTGTTATGATTTCCATCATGAATAACGATATAGTTACCATAAATAAAGTTTTTGTCACGTTTTAAAGAAAGAAAAAATAGGTAGATGTGCAATGCTACCTCTAGAAGCATATTGCTTGACTTTCAAACTTGAGATAATCACAATTATAAATGTCATTATCCAAAGTGCTTTGTATTTTTATCGTAGGCAATCTATATTGACTAAATGACATAACCAGTGACATAATACTTATCTGAATTTCTCAAGCTTATCAACTTAGATTCTAATCGCATCCAAAACTATTGCCACCTCACTACTTGACCTTTTTTTTTTTTACTAGAGTAAGAACTCACTAGATGACTCAAAATTCATCATCTTTTCTTTAATGACTGTCAATTTTTTCTAGTTATGATCATTAATCTAAGGGCCTGTTCTCTTACGTTGAACTTCAATTCAGTTCAGTTCAGCTCAATTCAGTCAATGAGAACAGGCCCTAATTTTCCATAATAGTTTCTAGTCTCATACAATGCATGGATCATACGTCTTGTCAAGTAGAAATAAATGAAAAAAACTACACAAATCATAATATGACCGGGAAGAAAAACTTACAAGAAACAATACAAGTATTTGATATTGATTTATACAATAATTGGACTTCTTTTTTTTTTCTTTTTTTTTTGGCAGATAAGATGGGCACTATTAAGCTATAATCCCCCACAAATCAACACACGTTAGCAAATTAGACAATTTTCAAGAGGGGAAAGGGATCTTTCTAACAAAGTGTCTACGGAGAGAACACTTGACAATCTCTTGTGTTCTTTACCGCTAAGCCAAATTTAGGGCCTGTTCTCTGACTAAACTCAGTTGAACACTTGAACTGAGCTGAGCTGAAATGAAATGAATATTTTATAAGAAAAGGAAATTAGGAGCTGAACTAAACTGAAATGAGCTGAGCTGAAATAAAATAAAAATAAACATATGAGAACAAGCCCTTAGTTTGGTTTGTACAACAATTGATCATAAAAAAGATGTTCTCCTTTCCACAAAGCCGAACTTAAGTTTAAGTTGATATGATGGAAAGAACACGAGAGATTCGAGAATTGTTTCATTTTCCTTAGTGAGGGGTTGTAAACTTGTAATTCAATGTTGGAACTAGAAATAAAGAGCTAGAAAGAATCAAATTCTATACACGAGTAATACATTACCTAATGTAACACAATAATACTTACAGAAGATTCTAGTCCAAAGATTCTCCATTTATCATCAATAACTAGTTTGAGTGATGTTACACTGAAAGGTATTGATTCAATACTTTTCACTACCATAACATCACTCAAACAACGGCTGCTGAGCACCTACCTAGCTTAGAATTATGAACGCCCACGCAACCTCGACTTTGACAGCCTGATAAGGGCCGAAATTCACCTAAACAATATGCCAATCAACAAGCTCAAAGTCACCATTTATCCGAGAATATGATCAAAGATGGTACTCAGTACCGACATGTAAGGGAGATCAATACCACAGCAAACAACTGAGCATCTTAACTTACAAAGAACAAAATTTTTATTCTCGGAGTTTGATACACGCGTCACAAACGCCTAGAACTTAGACTAGTTATGGGAACAGGATGAAAGATGACGATTCTTCTAAAATCTATACTTATTCTATAAAACAGCTACTTTATATGAAAAAAAAAAAAAAAGAAAAAAAAAAGACATGCGCATTGCGAAGATCCCTAGCTCGTTAAATGCTGTAAAGTTCATACTGCCACATCTTTAGCTAGACACGACAATGCAAACTCTCCCATAATACATTATTAAGGGGGTTTGGTTACTGATGAGAATTTCTCACTCAGGCAATAGCGTTCATTTCTGAATATTGTACAGCTGCCCATTGTTAATTAAGTGCTGAAGAGCAGATTTGGCTTCCTCAAGAGTCTCAACAACCTTTCCGTCTTGAAATGATATCCTCTGTATGTTGAACTGTAAGAAAAAAGAAGCCTTTAGCACACTATAAAGTGGCATTTCGAAGCCAGGAGATCTGATGATATTGCTTATCACAAAGATGGGAATTATCATGACTAGTACCAAAACATGGGGCAATTCAAACAAACAAAATGAAACAAAAACCAAAGAAGAAAGTAAAGGAGGGAAACAAAATATTGACATACAGGTTGAGTGAAGTTGAAAGAAATGATATACCTGTGCCCCTTGACGAACCCGAACATCAGTTCCTCTGCTGTCTATCGAAATGAGAGCAGCGTCATCTACCTCAATTTCAGTGGATAAAAGCTTTTTCAAAGGCTTTGAGAAGATGGCATTGAGTTCCTAAAATCATACCGGAGTGACAATTATTTCCATGTTACATATGCTTCGTTGATAAAGCCTAAAAGTGAGGACTTTTTGCATTAATTACTAGAGAAACAAGAAAATTAGCACAATTACCTTTAAATACTGTTCACCTCCTTCCAGCGCAATCTTATCTGGTTTTAGGTCTTCGTATTCCTTAACATCAACCCAAGCGACTGTACCGAAGCCACCAATGAAATAGATATCACTGCTTTCATTGTTCAGGGGAAAAAAATTCAGCTACACGATATAAGATACGCTACTCATGAAATAAGAAGACTCATTAGTTAAGTGGACTTTATCCACTAAAACCAGCCACAATATATAAATAAGATACAAGGTAAGGAACCCTAAAGTATCAACTATCAAGGCGATCCTATGCTATGCAGAAAGTGAAGTCTACTTCATACGCATTTGAGAAGAAAAGCTGCAATACACTTCCCCCCCCCCCCCCCCCCCCCCCCCGCCTTTTTTTTTTTGGGTGGGGGGTATCTTCTATCAAAGAGAGACTGAAAAGCTTATGAAAGGAAGCCATTTTATCTCAGGACAATGACATATATTGTCGGGTAAGCTAGCTTAAGTCTATTTTTAGGGGAGAAAGAACCCTCTTATACCATAAAGAAGCAGGTCTAACATGTAACACCAGTAAGCCAATCTTCTGACAGAAGTT